TGGTATTTTTCTTTGCCTGACGTAAAACGTCTTTCGACGGATGTGCAAATCGCCGGTGCATGATCTCATAATCCACCTTGTAAACAGTGGACATGGATCGCACTGTCTCAGCCGTGCTAGGCTTCGACATCAGGAAGTACAAGGCAATGTCCTTCCCTAGAGTTCTAAACTCCATGATCGAGAGTGGGGACTTCCCTCGATGTAAGCTGATCCGTGATTTGTCTCCACGAACGCGAGATCCTCCTTTGAGTAAGGAGCCCAAAGACATGAGACGACCATGTAATCCTGGCACTAGGTACACTGGATATATCTGAGAAGTCACCATTGTCTTTTCTCCATGCCTTGTGACGTAATGATCGATGAAGGCTGTTCCTCGACCAATAAGGGCAACACGTGTGTTCTTATCAGGGGTCTGAGCAACAATAGGATCTGAGAGCTTCTCATATCCGACCAGATCACTAATCTCCGATGTCACATGGAGAGATGCACCTGAATCAAGAAGCCATAGAGGCCCTAATTCATGATGATGATGTTTCCCCTTACACTTAGAGCAGGCAGCAAAATCGGAGTGCACACAGAATAGATTGGTACAAAAATCATGCGAACGAATCATCAACGAATTAAGTACAGAACCCGGGGCGGCGGTGATTACGCGCTCTGGCTGTGAGCAACAATCAGAATTGTGCATATGCCCAAGAAGGCAGGGTACTTGCCTTTCGGCGGAAGGAGCGTCCATCTCCTCCAGAAGGGTGTTGAAGTCGACGACTTCATCCCAATTGACCGGTTCAGCCTGGGCAAACTCGCTATCTCCAAACAGAAGATCAAGATTGTTCTGTTGGCTGGTGGCCATCTCGACGTCGGGGATCTCCTCGATACGACTGCGTTTGGCAGGACGACCACCATCCAGCGTGTGATTCGAGCCGGAAGCAACCGGAGATGGAGAACGCATGATTGCGTCCTCGCGGAGCATTCCTTTCTCATTGACGATCTTGTCGAGAGTCCGGAAGCGTTCTGCGGTCACCGTCACATCCATCTTCTTGGCCAGCTCGAAGACCTTACAAGTAGGCTTCTGGAACTCGGTGTCAATAATCCCATTGTTGTTAACGGGAGACTTCTCTTGAACCGCGCGGATTTTGGGTCCATCGCGAGAGATGTGCGTGACATGCGAGATCGTCGGCGCAGGGATAGACGGAGTGAGCAAGGCGATCGAACCAATAGTGAGGGAGCCAGTGATCTCGGAGACTCCATGGACATGATCGTGATCAGCCTTGCCCTTGCCCTTGTTGTCCTTGTTCTTCCCACTGCGCTTGCCTCGACGGTTCTTCTTCTTTCCATCAGCCTTATCACCTTTATCGGGTGCAGAGCCAGAGCCCTGTTGCTGATTGGTGAACGAAGGGTCATCGCGCTTGCGCTTGGTATTGAACTTGGCCACATGATTCTGGCTTTGAGACTGCTTCTGAGCGAAATGCGTCAAGAGAGCGTCACGAACCGCCAAGACTTTGATCTCGTCCTTTTCATAGGTCTGGAGAACAGTCTCTGTGACGGAGGGAATCCGGGCTATGTTGAGAATGATCATCGCTCTGAGGAACTCAGGGATGCTCAAAGACTCATTCTCCAGGCGAGCGAACGCCGTAGTGATCACCAGCAGCTGTGGATCCGGGCGCAACCCCACGTTGTACTTGGCGTTCAACGCGGTTTGGAAGTACGCATATAGGTCGGCGCACTGAGCACCACCGTATTGGGTCTTCAGATGCGCCCAGATCTTGGCAGCTGACACTATATCCGCAGGAGGAATGTTAGCAATGACTCCCTCAGTCAGGCGCAACTTAATGCTGCCTTTGGCTCTGAGATCATCATGCTTCCATTGTTTGATCTCCGATGCGTTGGTCACAGAGCCATCGGTAGCTTTGACTTCGGTTGGCGCCGTTTTGGTCAGCACATATGAGATCCCCTGATGTTCCAGGTAGGACTCCATAGTTCCGGACCATACGAGCCAGTGCTTTCCATCAAAGATGGAGACAGCATTGAAGATGTTGTTGGAGTTGGACGACATATTGATCTGTGTGAGTTAATCAGCATCAATCTAATCTGATAGATAAAATCAAAGATCAAGATGATCAGATTCTCATGGATCATAATCTCCTTGAGAGATCGATGCATCTGGATCAAGCGATGTAATCGCGATCCGGCATGGTTTCACCAGCGCTGTGCAGCAGCTGAAGTGAATACAGATAGGCTAAAGACGCTGCTCATTGTTGCAGCCAGTGACGGTGCATACAATGAATGTCGCGGCCACTGAGGCGCAGACATAGCTCTCGGGGCCCATAACCTGTTGAGCACTGGGGAGAGCGTCTAGCAGCTCACCTGTGTGAGTGAGAGCTTAGTGTGGGCACTATGCGGGAGTAGTCAAGAGACTTGTCATTAAAGGGTAATAGAGCCCTCCTTATATACAATACAGGGGGCTATTTGTGTCTATTTAGGGCGAATCGACATGACTCTAGATGACACGTGATGGAGTCATAAGATGTGTATCACGACATCCATCTGGCAGATGATAAGATCATCATTTGATCAACATCATGAAGGAGACAAATCGGATGCTGGGCATAGAAATGAATCCGGGGACCGCGTATCACCCAATCACGGATGGGCAGACAGAATGCATGAATCAGGAGATCGAATATTATCTCTGCATCTACGTCAATTATCATCAGACGGACTGGTCGGAGTGGCTGGGAATGGCGGAGTTCGCATATAACAATAAAATGAACACGTCTACCAAAATATCACCATTCTACGCAAATCACGGATATCACCCATGGAAGGGAGTGGAGCAGCGGATGGAATCAAGAAACGAGTCAGCAGAGGAGTTTGTAAAAAGAATCAAAGAAATACAAGACGAAGCAAAAGCGGCATTGGAAAAAGCAAATGAAAAAATGAAAAAATACTACGATAAACAAAGAAAAGAAGTTCTGGAGTTGAAGGTTGGGATGAAGGTGTACATAGAAGGGGACAATATCGAGACAGACAGGCCTTCGAAGAAGATGAGCGACAAGAGATTGGGGCCATACAAGATACTGGAGAAGATTGGAGCGGCTGCATGGAAGCTGGAGTTGCTGGACACGGATCGAAGACACCCGGTGTTCAACGAGTCACTGTTGACACCCTATCACAAACCACCCCCCCATCGCCGAGAGAAGAGACCCGTAGCCAAGATAATTGGAGGAGCAGAAGAGTGGGAAGTCGAAGAAGTCGTGAAGGAACGAAAAGTCGGCCGAGGAAAGCAATACTTGGTCAAATGGAAGGGATGGCCGCATAGCGAAAATACCTGGGAACCATCACGTCATCTTACCCACGCAAAAAAGATCCTGAGAGATTGGCAGAGGAAACAATCCAACCCAGACACACGCATTCAGCTCCTGCCAACACTCGAAGCCGGACACTGGGATTATCCCATCTATCACTACAAACCCAAAGACAAGCACCTTCCATATCCCCAGCGACAACTCTTCGACCCCGACGAGAACGTCTTCACGCCCATTGGTCTAGTCAATGAGGACATCGACCCTAGAGAGGGGGTAATATCATAGTTCGGCCACTTTTTCATCTTATCATCGACGATCTTATCTTATCTTGGCACAACTTATCTTATCACGGATCACGGCATCAGACGGTCCAGGCTAGGGGTTCCAGGGGTTATCATTATCAATTCAAGGCTGCGCGACATATGCTCTGGAAGGTTCTACTACAACCCATGACCAGTGCTCCATGCGGTACATAGCCCTATGACTCATTACTTGTAGATATGACTCAGACTGGATTTGGGTATAAATACTGTAGCTACTTGGTTGTATTCTCCAGTCTTCGAATTCACTTCTCTTTTCGACATTATTTCTTGTTGATTGTCACATGCCCATGACCGTCCTGTCTTCATTTGTAAACATATGTACAGTCACAGCCGATTTAAAAGGCCGAATCCAAATTAGGAAGGTACCATCAACCTCAGCTCAAATATATTTACAGTGAGTCTAGCGCACCAAATTCTAGCCAAAACTAATACATTCATCCTAAATCCAAACTAAGTCAGACATGGTACTGTAGACAATGGCCAAATACTATCTAAACTCCTGTGATCAGCCAGTTGATGGCACTTCCCAGGCTCCTTCCTGATTTGGGTTGGGCCTTTTACAGCTGATTCGAAAATGTTAGACAGTGCATGATTATTTCGATGTGATCGCGGAAAATCCCGTAGCACAGCATTGTCATGTCCTCGCGCGGTCTATCCGCCTCCTGCATTTTGGCTGCGACTGGGATCTGCAAACGCAGCATCTATCGGGCTTGGTCCAATGCACGGAACAGTGGAATTACAGGGTTGTCCGTCCCTTCCAGCTAAAAACAAATGTCGCATGGAGTGCGGTGGAGCGAAAAGTACTGAATGAGGAAATATGCTGTGCTACGGGATTTTCTGTGATCACATCAAAATAATCATGCACTATCTAACATTTTTGAACTAGAAAGTGTTGGCTCCGCCAACATCATGCCTTGCTCACCGATTCAATCCATATAATCCAATTGATACACAATAAAACAAATAAAATACCAGTGCAGCTGTAACTAAGTGCCAGACGCTCTCATCTTCTTCCTCTTTGGGCTCTTGTCCAGGTCAGGCACCACCAGCAGAGACTAGATGAGGCAAGACAACATCATGCGGTGTAAGCGCTTGTGTTTGCAGTGGTGGAATGTGGAGCAGTGTGGTTAGAGAGTGACATGAATGGAAACAAAAACAGCCCACAGGTGGGTGCTCAAAAGAGAGTCATCATTGTGCATGGAACTATAAATTACACTGTTTTGAATGCCAGCCATGGTGGGGAGCGTATGAAAAGAAGAGTAAAGAGTGAATGAGAGCACAACAGACGCGTACACACATAGAAGGGGAAGCATCATTGGTAACGTGACCTGATCGGATCAAGATACGGAACTATTGCATCTGATTTGTAGAATATAGGGTCTGGAGAGTGCCTTGATGCCTTGACAAGCAAGGCAATCAGCTGTAAATCGGCCGTGACTGTACATGTGATCGCTAACTATCTTTATTTCCAGCCCGACGTCCATCACTCACGACACGATCCTCTACGCCAACTATGTCCACATTCCTCCAATTCATCACGCTCGTTTACGTTTCTATGCACAATCTTTTGCATCGGCTCTTGGCTAGAATGGGAAGAAGGACACCGCCTGGCGGCAGTGCGTGGTGGATAACCGCATGCAGCTGGACGGCTCATACTGAACCCCTTCGCAGATGCGCAACTGGATAAAACAGAATTTTCCGCTCATGTTCGTGTCTCTCAAGACGCAACCGCAGTGGCCTCAGCTTCCCCCCTATCTTCCCCCTCCCCCGCTGAACTTTTCGCTGCGGCAGCCGCACAACACACCGACCTGCCTTCCCTTCCATCTATCTTGATCTCGCCGTGGACAAGGACTTCGATCGAGCAAATTGACGCATATTGCATCAACTCTACCGAGAAGCAGCACTTTGGCACGCCCATCTCCGACCTGCGCGATTTCGCCTGCAATCCATTGTCGCTCGTATCAAATGCAACACAGACTTTGAATTTCGCATCTGAGAACCAGAGCGAGTTGCGCAAGGAGCGGCTGTTGACGAATAAAGCCGAGGGCAAGCTTACTCGGAGAGGTATCACTCGGTCAAGATCTCTCGGCCGGACACGCAAACACTTCAAGTCTATTGCAATGCCCTCATCTGTCTCTCTGCTTCTTCAGTCCGGAACCAGGGCGCGAGCACGGTCGCGGTCAAGATCCCGTAGACCTCATCTGCGTATCCAGTATCGACGGGCATCACCCCTCGCTTGTGTGACACATGCAGTTCTGCAAGGCCAGTCTCTCAAAAAGTTGCACTGCCATGGTCGTTCTTTGTCCTCTGCCCAGCCGCTGCCTTCCTCCAGAGTCACCAGACACGTCAAGAGGCATACAGCTCCGGGACTCATCGTCGTCGTCCCCCCCTTCGTATCATCTATGTCCATGTCAAATCTTAGTCACTGTCAAGTTTCACGGATGGCCAAGGCTGGCCTCGAGGACATGTTCGACTCGTTGATTGAACATGCGGCAGACACTAATCGTGCCCTCGAAGCGGACGATCTGATGTTCCCAGTCTGTAGTCCGACTGTCTTGGAGGAGGGTCGTACGCTCAAATTCGGCATGCGCGATTCCCCATCCTCGATAACGTTCGTCTCCTCGATTTCTGCATCTCACTCAATGGTGCTGCTGGCAAATGCCTCAGCTCGCTCCCTCACGGATCTCCTGGCGTCGTTTGAAGCGATGATGCGCAGTCCGTCTTGGGGGAAGTTGATGGCTAGAGCAGAGGACATTGTCGGCCGAAGAGATGCTGCAATCTAGTACAAGTGAGATCCATTGTGCTCCTTGTACCACAGTACACTAATTGAAGTCCAGGAATGTCAGTAGCTATGCATGCATACATGTACATACTCGATGCACACTAGAAGATATCAAGTCCAGACAGCTATCTCGTCGAAACAGCCGCGATGTCTGAGAAGGAACCCATTCTCTGTTGCTTCGGTCGGCCGAAAGACCTCAATGGTGAAGCTCTGAATTTGGGGAGAGTGAAGTGAGACGTGCTGACAGGCGAAATGCTGAAACGGCTGCTTGTCGTAACATCGTCCGAAATAGAAACAACATGCGTTCGCACGGGACTCGGGAGAACCGGCGCTGGAATTCGTGTTCGCCTGGGACATGAAACTTGGGGCAGACTGGATGCTCGTGGCCTAGGTAAGATCATTGTCGAGACGGAAGATTTCTGGGAGCCAGTCCCGATCCTTCGTATTGGCGGAAGGTGCGGAAGACGCGGCTGAGTTGCTAAACAACGGGGAAGAACGCTCCTCAGATCTGACTGTGCACCGGATCTCTTCGTCCCCAAAGATGCTGATGAGCCGATGATGCTCGTCGTCGGCACTAGGTCTCTGGTATGAGCAACTGCATGGCCGGAAGAAGGGCTGAAAGATGGGGGTGGCAATGTGAGAGAAGGAAAGTGGGTAGCCTCCAGATGGAGATTTTGAGATTGTAAATTTGATTCGGCCGTCGGTGCCGCCGCTTTCAGGTTCAATGGAAGAAGCCCTAAGCGTGTGCAGGGTGCTGGCTCATCAGGATACCACTCTGAAACGAACGGCATTCGTGCGGGAGTTTGGCTGCTGACTTCATTCTGCGGCTTCGGTTCCGAGACGCCTTCGGATTGAACTCCGTCGGACTCGGCTGCGCTTTCGGCGTCCAGCCCGTGAATCCTGTCGCGTCGACTCCGAACGACGAGAATGAGGATAAGGACAACGACAAGGGTGGCCGACACCGCGCCCACGGCTCCGACGACGATAGCGACAATGGTCGGAGGAGGGAGAGATCTGGAATGAAGGCGCACGGTGTCCTTCACGATGACCATTGATATATAAATCAGAAAACATGGAGAGAACTCGACGCACCCTACGTCCGTCCCCATTATCAAGACTCAAGCGACCGCCAATGAAGCTCTCAGCACAGACACTGTAAGCTCTCTGTCGGTTCCGAAGACTCGCGCTGTAAACAGAGGTTCTCTCACCTGGATGGAATGCCACTGACAGCGAGAGCCAGAGTCAGAACGAGCAGTCTGAGCGATAGGACGACGCGCATGACGAAAGAGAAGAAGGGCCGGCCCAAGTACAGGACATCCACAGTGGATAGAATACATTCTGGCAAGTAGGCAGATCGAGATTTGGGATTAGTACAGATCAAGGATCGTTTTCCGGGGTTGCTCGATTCGGAGCCGGATTGCTCGAACGGACGTACGTGTTGCGCTGTCAAGGTAAGCAGCCGTAGACTGGAGGTCAAAATTTAGCCTACGTGTGCGAATGCACCCTCGATAAATGACAGATGGAGGTGATGCTTCGCCGTTGGCAATGATCGAAACCCCAAAGGATTGTTCATCCTGCCCATGATCCTTCAACAGTGTCCAAACACAGTGTGGTGGTCGTCAGGGTTTACGAAAAGGGATCGAATGCATTCATGTGTGCTGTTGCCGAGTAGGATGGAGCAAAATGTAGATAATGAGACAGTGACGGTACCGCAATGATTCAATCATTTCGCGTCCAGTCACAGTCATGTGTGTGGCTCTACATTCTGTGACAGGAGACACGGAACTCGAATTCGTCCAAAGTCACTTGCTCCGCTGGGATGTTTCTCGTCGTCATATTTTCAACGAAGCAATGAAATCAGGAGTCACCCCGCACCTGCGCGCACTAAATGACATCAGCTTGGACTATGCCCCGCGTTCTAAAGTCCCACTGTTGCCCAACTCCAAGCGTCAAGCTAGTCTTACACTGCTGTGTCGCTTCTTGGACAAGCTTCGAAACATGCACTGAGAATGTGCGGACAACCGCTCATGAGATGACGAGTCCAGGCGCTTGATCCGGCTCGGCTCCTCCAACTCAATCGCAACTCGCCTCTTGCCTTCGAGCTCCGCTTGGATCGACAGGCGTCTTGGATCGACAGGTGTGGTTTCGACCGCTGAATGCAACCAAATGAGCCCCGGAACGATAATTGGTGCTGTAGTGAGATATTTGGCGGTCGATGTGTCGTGGCCGAAGTTCGGCAATAGTCCAGGCCAGCCCGAGACCAGGTCCATACTACATCACATCTTAATTTCTAGACTTTCACTAATCGATTGAAGAGAAGTTGGAATCGGACATGGGGGCTGTCTGGCTCATGTCACGGTAAGAAAAGAAAATGCAGGAGCTCGCCACTATCGAGACTATTCTCCTGGTCGGAAGCATCGAGACAGAACGGACGTCTCGGATGACCCAAATCCAATGAATCCTTTGCCACGAGGTGATGATCACAATGTTTCGAGGTAGTGCAGGATATTTTTAGACACCAATTCAATGACAAATTCTGTGCAAGTAAGACAAGAGTGTGATCCTTGGAGAGCGTTAGCGGCCGCGATCCCCGCCCGTCGAACATCCCGGTTATATCATTCCACCTCTAGCAGCTGCTCTTCGTCACAATGTGGATGGGGTCCGGGCAAGCATTTCCAGCAGTTCCAAAAATCAGGACGCCGTCTGAGTTCTGTGGTATATGTTAAACCCACATCCTCCTGAATCCCAATGGAAACCAGACCCGATACAAACAGCTGGCAGCGAAGCCCGAAATCGCTGGTCCGTCATAGCTGGAAAGTGTGGCTGAGAATCCTCGTCGACATTGTCAGCCACGAGTACTCGCCTGCACTGGAGATCGTTCTTTGCTTCCTGAGTGGCGAGTGTAAGGTGGCGCGTGGTACCTCCAACACTGATCGTGGGTGCGCAGACTCCACAAACCACGGCGGCGACAGCAGAGCAGGAAGCCAAGGCCACAGCGAGAGAGATGGTAAGACGAGAGAGCATTGGTGTGTCTGGAGTTTGCTTCAAGCGTCCGTACGTTTAAATACCACTGGCGGCAGCGACCGGCCCCCGCAAGGCGGAGTGACACACTTTTGCACGTCAGCAGATGAGCGGGCATTCTTCGGGCGAGGCCAAGAGCAGTTTACAACCAATGCCTGGGTGCAGATCATCGCTGCATGTGCGAGCCCCAGCAAAAAGACCTTCGAATCAGAGAACTAGACCTTGCTTGACGGCGAGTGCTGCACGGCTGCACTAAACGCGCACAGGCTCCACTGGATGTACCGACATATGAATGCTCGCCAATGGTTCTAAACTTCTAGAATTCAAGTATTGCTTGCTGAAGTGTCATACGGGATGAGTAGGTCAGTGCAAAGATTCTAGCCGTCGTTCAGGAGGAGATCAGCTGGACTCGCCCAGATCATTTGGACGGGGAGGCTGCGGTCTCTGAACTTCTTCAGATCAAGACACGGGCAGCCTGTGACCGTGAAAGCAGACGTCGATCGATCATCTGCATGGGCGGGAGCGTTCCTGTCGGCCCGGACCGTGCTCTCTTTTGATGACTGCCCATGCTCACGCTCCGCCGTTCATTTCTTTATGGTTGACCCTGGAACTTTCTTCGAGGTGTCTTCTCTGGAGCTGCGCGGCTCCGGACGCCCTCTGTCTGCACAGCCATTGATTGACATCGGCGATCACTGTCAATCTGAGTGACCAACATGTCCATCTACTCCCAATTCTTCGTCCCCAGAGCCAAGTTCCATGTGAATGACATCCCCGATCTCACAGGCAAGGTGATGCTGGTGACGGGCGGGTACAGTGGGATTGGATACGAGACTACGAAGGTGTGCATAGGGGACTAGGATTCTGTCTGTCAGCGCTCTGACGCGCTCAGTAGGCACTGCTGGCACATGGCGCAAAAGTGTACATCGCGGGACGGAGTCGAAAGGGAGCTGAGGATGCGATGCGCCAATTTCGAGCCGAACTGCCTGACGCGCAGGTCGCATTCATCCAGCTTGACCTTGCCGACTTGCCCACGATTAGGAGCGGGGCGGAGGAGTTCCTCAGGTTGGATTTGCGCCTAGTTCTCGGGGAAGACGCTGAAGAATCTCTAGGCTGGAGACCCGGCTGGATGTGCTGTTCAACAACGGGTGAGCCAAACATCTAACGAACTTTCATGTGTCGACCGATACTTCTCAGCGGCGTCATGGACCCGCCTGTGGATCAGCTCACCTCACAAGGCTACGATCTGCAGTTCGGAACAAATGTTCTCGGTGCGCCAGAACTCCACCTCTCGTATTGAGCATGCTTTCATAAACGATAATAGGGCATTTTTATCTCACGCAACTGCTCCTCCCGACGCTCCTCTCCACAGCACAGCTCTCCTCTGACGGCAAAACACGTGTCATTCACACCGCCTCGCTTGGAAACGTATTTGCGCCCAGCCTTGACTTCTCAACGTTCCGCGACGATCCGAAGCGTCAGAAAATGGGCTCGACAAAGTTGTACAACCAGAGCAAATTGGTAGCAGGATTTGCTTTTCCCTGTCTGCCTCACCCTTATCTGCACACAGGGCAACGTCATTTTTTCTGCTGAGCTAGCGCGGCGGTACGGTGACCAGGGACTGGTCTCAGTTGCGTTGAATCCCGGTCCGTGTTTGCGTGTTTTCAGAGTTCTTAACACCAATTGCGGCAACGTGAATTCTCAGGAAATCTCAAGACGGGTATTGCGAGACACTGGAAGAGTTTCGGACAGCGCGTGATGAAACTTTTTGTGGGCCTGTTTGCTGCGCCGAGTCGAATGCAGCATTGATGGTTTTCAATCAGGGACATCTCATCGTTTATCCAGCACATATGGGAGCGCTGACTCAGTTGTACGCTGGGACAACTGCCCCTGGTGCCGAGCTCAACGGAAAGGTACGAAGCGTATGGTAATTGATTGGAATCAGCTCGATTGAATTGCAATTCTAGTATCTGGTTCCCTGGGCAAGGGCGGGTAAGCCAAATCCACTCGCTGACGATGAGACTTTGGGAAAAGATTTGTGGACTTGGTTGGAGGAACAGATATGAGCCTTGAGCTCCGACTCCTGAACTGTGTTCCCTTTTTGATACGAGTTGTTGAGATCTATTCATGGCAGGGCCTACAGCTATCGCTGATGGATCAGTTTCGGGAGTTGGGACCATCACTTTCAGTCATTGGAGTGAAATGTGATGGAGAATGCCGCGAAAATTCGTACAGAGACTCCTCAGGCGATGACTCTCCCCATGCCATCTTCCGAATTCTCGCATCTCTAACCATAGACGTTCCTTGTGAGACTTTCCTCGCAGCATTGCAGATGGAATGGGTCAGGAGGTTCTCGTATGTTAGGTGCGTGCTGGACCGTTCGGGTGGCTACCAACGACCAGCTGCCCATCCGGCAGACGGTTTTCGAGCTCAAACGAACGCGCAGACATCTTCTCTGGCAGCTCCTGCGCAAAGTTCAGCGCGAGGCAACACATTCCTAACTTAGCTTCCCAAGCCACTGTTCGCTCAGCCGTCGTCATTCGGCAGTGGTATCCGCGCTCCAGACGTACTGGAGGAGTACCATGTCAGGTTCAACCCTGTGAGATCAATATTGGGGCAGAGAGTGGCATGTGACAGCGAGCAACTTTCTCAGATAAGCCCCGGTGTGAGACCCTACGCGGTACCATTTATCCGACCGGAGGCGGCGTATAGGGACAGAACCGCTGACTTCAGATCGACAGATGCAAGGCAGGTGCGTCGAAAGTCTCGAATATGATTAGTGCCAAATTCTCCTGATCGAGGTTGGGGTCGGATGACGGCTCGGCCAGGAGTTCGGGCGGCTCCACTTGGACGACCTGGAGCTCAGATATTCTCCGCATTCTCACAAATCGTGGTGATACCACTTTTGATGGGGTGTTTAAAAGTATAAACTTCATCGTTGGATCGGGCTTAGTCATAGTATGAGGTTCAGGCTGGGCGAGGAAGTGTGGCGTGGACAAACCTTCTTCCCGATTAGGAAGGCCCGGCCTGTCGGCCAACAGCCATGTGATTGATGGATATGATGGATCTAGATAAGACTTTGTAAACATTTTAGGGTATCTAATCGTACGCATAAGACTGTTTTCGCTTCTGCTTAGCTTCGGGAGACACCGGATAGATTGTCCGCTCCATTTCCGACGCTTTCCGCTTGGATCCGCGTTTGAGAGGGGCGCTCGACGAGGGCGGGGGCGGGGTGGCGGGCCGAACAAAGACCTGTGCGTCGGTCTCCGCCACTCTCGGCAGCGACTCGATTCTGGACAGCTCGTCGGCGAGCGCGAGAAGTTCGGCTCTTCCACGACGGATCATGTCAGTTTGCGCTTCGCTGACACCCGTGGTAATACCGCCCAATGCCTTCCTCCACTGAGATAACTCGCCGCCGACCAATGCATCGAATTGAAACAACGACTTCGCCGTTGCCTGTGCGCTCAAAGCCGTGGTATTCTGCGTCGCTTGAATCATCTGCCTCTCGTCGATCGGATCTTCGCTCAAGTCAAGCTCGGAGTCTGAGGATGCGTCCGTAGCAACACTGGACGCATCATCATCTTCATCGGCATGATCATCGACGGCGTTGGTCGCTCCATCCGCCTCATCCTCCGCTCTGCCCTCCTGCTCCAACCTTTCGACAACCTCGGCCGCTCGCGTACTTGGTAACCGAAGCCGTATGGTAAGTATCTGACTCTTTTGAAGAGCGAGGGCATCCTCCACGGACTTAGGGATCGGGATTCCGGGGAGAGGTTGTCCGTCCGCTAAACAGATCTCCTTGGCCCTCAAGAGCGCGGCACGAATGTGTTTACAGGCACCTCCTTCCTGAACGAAGTCCATGCAAGTGCAAGTTACGACACCGTTAAAGCCCGCTCGGATATTGTAGGTGATGGGGTTTGCTTCGGAGGAGAGAGCCTGAGAGGAATAGCAGGTGAAGAGTAACCCCATGTTGCCCGGCATCATCTCGGGGACGCTGATTTGGCGGGCCTCGAGCAGCCTACTTGCTCGGGAGTCGCGGCCAGAGTCGGGATTGAGGTACGCCACTTTCGGTCTTTCCGAGACGACCTCAACCGAGCTCATTTGCTTCTTATTCAAGAGATCGGCGCCGCCGGGGAGCAGAGCAATCATGGCGGATAGGCGACTGCTCTGCTCCAGGTACAATCGACGTTCTTCGAAGATGGATGGCAAGATGAAGCAAACGAGGGCGTTCAGAAGGACATCTATGCGCAAACGACGTCCTCCGTTCTGCCAGTGCTTGAGGTGAGTCTTCTTCAAGACGCCGTTGAACGATTCCAAGTGATTGGTGGTAGGAATGACGCCTTCAATGCCGCATCCAAGCATTCCTGCCACAAGCAACCGATTGTGATTCGACCAACTCTTCCACAACGCTTCAGTCATCCAGTACCCATTCAGATAATCGAGGTGTGTAATTGCTTTCTGAATGGCACGCGCGCTGGATGGGTCCGCCGTCGCTTCAAGCATCAGTCGTCCCCGCTCATCCTCGATTAGCTGACGGGCGTCTTCGATCTTCTCCGTTTTCGGCAGCGCAGTCTCGAGAACTCTCATTCTCGACTTCAGATCCATCAGCACCGCAGTCTTCCCTTTCAGCACCTTGTTTCGATGATTTCGCCAAGACTGCCGGAGATGGAATCGGCAGATAAGAAGGATGATTCCGAGGAAAACAAGAGCTAGAGCAGCGCGCTCTTTAAGGTCTGTGTCTGTAATCGCGGATACCGGGTTGAATGATGTAGCACCTGACGGCTTGTTCTTGTTGCGGTTGAGAGAGTCCTGCCATTTGGTGAGGAGTTTGGTAAGAATTTCGGTGTCATAACCCGATGAAGATTGCTTATTGCCTGTAGATCAGTCAGCTCAGACGACAACTGCCGACTTGAAGGAGCAACTCACCGGTTGGTGCTGAGAACATCAAGAAAGCCACAGGTATTCCCTTCTTCTGTTCATCGACGACCATGGCAATGAAGAGTAACAGCCGCTTGTCACACACCCCGAATGTGCCGTCCAGAATAATCTGCTTTCGATGTCCGTGCTTCCAAGCAGCCGCATCCATCTCCTCGGTCGCCACACAGACTTCGAAGCGCTCGTTCCTTTCAGCTCGGGCCGAATAGTGAAATACGGCTTTTGCCAATGTGGGATTATACGCGAGCGAGTCGGGATTGAGCCAGTCGTCAATTTGGATCTCCGGTATGTCCCGCAAAGCAACGCCGTTTTGGAGATGATGCTTTCGGTGCAGGGACCGCGAGTCATTCGATGTGAAAATCCAACGAAAGCAAGACTCCTTCAAGTTTTTGGGGAAACTGGGGTAAGATTTCTGCGCGAACATCTCCCGGTTTTTGCGTCTGACGTCTGCAATAGTTGCGCCGTCCTTCAGCTGCTTCAACGCGAAGTCAAAGACTTCAGGATGGAGTGGGAAGACGGGTAAGTTCTCTATCCGCGCGTTCTGGCAGTCCTCGCTGTGCTGCAGTTGACCGCGAATGCGTAGGATTCGTTCTTCTGGCGTCTTGTGCGCGCGGATGGTCAGCTCCGCATGGGCGAGACATCCAGTGAACGGCATGGCAACTTTGCGGGCAGCATTCTGCGCGTCCTTCTTCGATCGTCGCGTATGATCATACCCCGAGGTGCATTGGTATAGAACGCGGCGCGTCTTGACAACGGTGCCCGTCTTGTTGCTCCAAGTCTGGGACCATCGATTCCCGAGGTCTGCGCAAGCTGCCTCGTCCAACTTCTCGTTCTCCAGGATGTCCATTGCGAGCGCTTGGTCAACGGGGTCCTTGTCATCGAAAATGTGGTCCACAAGAGATGATTCCCCCGGAGATCGATCATGCAACGCGTAAAGTTCGTTTATCCTCTTTCTCTGGTCGTCATTAAGGTCGAGTTGATTTAGCAGCACCTTAGAATTGAGGCTGAGCGGGTTGAGACCGCCCTTCGCAGTCTTAGGGGCTCCGGATTTGGCGCGCAAGAGCTTTGGCGCGCCAGCAGAGGGCGCATCAGCCAGGGTGTGGATGGAGAACGTCGAGAACGACATTAGGGATTGGTGGAGGATGGTATAAGCAATGGGCGCATATATTGTGTAAACTACGGTCTATTGTTACCCTAAAATGGCAATCATCATCACTCGCATCAACCTCGCATCAAATGCCGGACATGCCGATGACATTTCCCCTTTGGGAGGTTTGTCCAGGCCCCAATTCCGCTGGGCGACCGCCGACCGGTTCCGTATCCCGGCTCGCGGAAGCGTTATTCCAGCCGGTATTCATTGGTCTGGACGCTCCCGGTATCTGCCAGAAAATCAGCGCGCTTCTACCGTGTGCAGTGCGCACCACTCATTACATACTGACAAACATCCTGCGGCCTCATCTCCATCTCCAAAATGTGATATCAATATTCGCCGGGTCCAGTACAAAAATGTCGAGCTGCCTAGTGGCACCGCAATATCCCCCGATATCGTTGACCGGATGCGCAAAGAGTTGACCACGTTAATGAGGACAGCCAGGGTTACGGCTCCTCCGCAGCGCAACTCAGCCGTTGAGATTAGGTGATATGGCTCGGCTTTCTTCACCACCTGGGAGATCTTGTGTTACTCCGGGCGCAACTATGACGAGACACGCATGAATATCGCTGATTGCGGTGTACGATGCAGCTGCATTGATTTCAGCGGAGCCGCGAGATTCGTGTCATCTGAGCTGGATATCATGAACGTAGCATCGCAGGGCCCCTCTAAATTTGTTGCCATTGTAAACCACGGCCCTGATGTCGCAAAAAAAAATCAGAGCATTGATCTTTCAATCGAGGTTTTATGACAGTACTGGCCACAATCACGACCTCAGGAATGCGTATCATCGAGTGCTGTCTGTCGTCGGTGGGCGAAGACTTGATAAAGATGCCATTTCTGCGCCGGACGTGGATACCAAGAAGCTGTTAATACTTCCCTACATCGAGGCAGTAGGCACTGAAGATATCATCCGGACGCACAAATCCAGCAGCAACCTGATTTTCAGAAACTGTGAACGCGTCTTGAGCCAAACGAGATAGTGGAATCTAGCGACGCGCTAGGCTTACCCACTGCGACTTCCAAGATCCAGTTCCTCAAGCATCTGAGCTGCGTTACTGCAGTAACGCGGAGAGACGGAGACTTGTGAATTTGCGTGAAGGGATGGATCCATGAACGCTCTGAAACAGAGTTCGAGAAACAAGCCAAGACCGAAAACGGCCCACGGTCTCTTGCTGACAGTGGTTGGCTCAGAAGAACCTTGCCGCTCCTCGAACACGATTGGACACTAGTCGCTCATACTCAACTTGCATGCCTAGCTTCGTCATCGGATCGGTGCCGGGCGGACGGAAAGTAGATAGAGGATCAATACGAAAGCCTTCTCGCACGACACGTTTGAGAGGTGGAACGTCTCCTCGCCGTCCGCATGCGCTCAGCGCACAACTCTGATGGGTCACGGCAGGGAAGGCGAGTGGGCGTGGCTTGCTTGTCACGGACAACCTGAATTGCAGGGCGAACATGCGCAAGGCAGACCATTTCAGGGACTCGGACGACAAAGAACATGGATGACAGTGCCGACTTTTAACATTCTTGAGGGTATGGAATGAGCACGAACGATGGTATAAGTAAGTTCAAGTCCGCGAGCCCTCTGCTCGTTTACGACACACGGGACATCCCTGGTCTAGTCGGGCCCGCACAACAGACTCGCTGCGCAGGGTAAGTCAATCGGCCACCGTGTCTAGCTGGCCCACTCACAAGGCAATCTTGGCGCTCATGCCCCTCTCGGAGATGCCTGCGCCCCTCAACAGAGCATCTGGCTGCTCTGGAATGTGCTCAGCACCGCTTGTGCAGTGAGCATGCACAACGTGACGACAGAGAAACAGCAGAAGCAGCGTCTGCGGATTCTCCTGTAGCGAACGATCGCAGATCGAGCACATCGATTTCGCTGTATTGTGCGGTGTGAGAGGCTGCATAACCTATTGCAACTGGCACTCACAAGTGAAGAAGAACCCGCTTGTCTGGTCCTTATGCAACTTCCGAGCAAAGTCGGAGCTATCCCCGTTCAGAATCGTCTGACAACCATCCAGGAGCGAAATCTGCAGATGAAAATCTTGCAGAATCTTGATGAGTGACTCTTTGAGGCCAGGAATCTCGAGTCCGTTCTTGATCCGTCGGATCAGCCGCACAGGGCTGATCTCAGCACCGACATTCTCCAGAAGACCTTTTATGAATGCTGTGCAGGCCAGTCGGTCAACTGGCTTTGGAGCAAAACAACAGAGCACACCTGGTCGCGCCTCCGAATACTTCAGAAGATCCTCCCAGAGATCATCGTCATTTTGCTCTTTGGCAAAATCGATGGCTTGTTTGACGTCTCCGAGTCGTTCGATGATCAGTGTGAGCGCCTTCTTGTTGTTCCCCATCCTACCCAACAGAAACACCATCTGCGGGACCAGATTGCCCTCTTCACATACTTTGTAGGCCTAGAATGTGTTTAGATTACAGCTGGAGACCTAGGATCCACACTTACATTCTCGGGGTTGTAGTCGTTGCTAGCGCGGAGAAACACGATCAATTGCTGTGTCGCAAACTCGGCATACAGCTTGACCAGGATGTCCGCAAACGCAGCCGCCGTCAATGGGTCCACGGTGTTGAGTGCGTCAAGGTACAAGAACAAGAAATACGGCCGAGCACTCAGTTGCTTGACCACTCGGTCGACCTGCGGTGTGCATTAGCAAGTCCCAGAGATCTGCCGAACAGAGACCGCACAGGGATGGAATGTATGTGATCAACGAGCAACGCAATCGCCTGACTCGGTCCGACTTCCTGCTTGTCCGCTTTCCTTTTCTCCATGAGCTCATGATCGAATTCGACGAGCAGTAGCGCCTGGTCTTGGACATCCGTGAACAGATTGTTGTCCCTGATGAGGTCAAAAACGTTCGGACGCCGTAATCGGAGAAAGAACGTCAGGGCTTTCCCCGGTTGGCGGTTGGCCATGTATCTGGCTATGATGTGAATGGGACCAGGTGGAATTGCGAAACACGTACAGCTCAGCGAGGCATTCCATGAGAACAACCGAGTCGGTTGACGGACTGGTGCGCTCCAGTTCTGCATTCACAGCTACAATCACGGCAGGCAAGTCGTAGATGTCGCGCGGCCACTCCATCACAGTTTGCAGCAGTGTCTGAGTTTCTTGGATTAGAACATTACAATGCCAATAATGATATAGATTACTGACCTTGCGATCGTGGGACAGGAAATGGGCCAGAATCATCTCATACACGAGGTGATCTAATTGTGGTGTTTCCGTCGGCACAAAGGGAATAATCGCCTGCAAGTTTATGTAGTCAGCGACCGAGATGAAAGCATCTGGTGCTTGCCTGTAACTGCTTCTGTTGCTGAAAGGCAAATATCCACTTCTCCCAGCTCTTGGCATTATGGCCACAAACTTTCGGAGTCAACCGTGCAGCACCAACATAATCGCCTGCGTCGCGTCGTGAACAAGAGAATTGCACGCAGAGGTAGACTGACCTTCGCTAAACAAATGCTGGATGTATCGCTGCCCGATTTCCGTTGCATTGACTTCAGCGTGGTGGTTTCCGTCCAGTTCAAGCTTCTCCACCTCCGCAAGGGCCTCTTCGTACCGCTTCCGTTCCACCAGCCATGAAACATGGTCCCGTCTGTCCCTTCGCTTCACAATGACGATGTCTCTTGGACTCAACACCACATAACAACGGGCTTCATCAGCGCCGGACACGTCGTTTCCGACTTCGGCGAGCACATAATCGTTGCACCCCCAAGCCTGATAATTGGTTATGCTGATTGCATCGGCCGCGAGCTCCTCCCCGGCAGGAGATACGATCCGCAGCTCAGGCCGATCCGCAGCCTTTCTCGCCTGTTCAGCCTTCCCTTCAGCACGCTCGATTCTGAAAGATGTATCTGGAGGTGTATATGCCATGACCAGGAAACAAGTCAGTGTCGAATGCGTTCCGTCCGAGCTGCTGCTAGCAGGTGTTACCATCGGGTGGGGTACTAAGCCAGCGATCATACAGTCGACTTTCAGGGCGACCGTGATTTCGGTGAGCAAGGGAGGGAGATTGGCCGAAGCAGCCGATGTGTTTGCTCTGGGCCTCGCGCGAATGCGCGCCACCTTGATATAATCTGCCCATGCAATGATCAGAGTCGAGTCGTCTTGCCAATGCAAGGTGCATTTGAATAGATCAGGCCGCGGGCTATCTGCTGGCCGGTCGATGAATGTGATTCTCGTCTGAGAGACTGTGTCGTAGATTTTGACACCCTGGATCTGTTGGAGAGCGGAACTGAGACCAAGAGAATGGCACTCACCACATCATTGGCCCACGCTATTAGCCTCCCTCTCCATCGGACTTGCCAGATAGGACCCTCTCCCGCGTGTAGCATTGTCTCCTTATGTCCTAACCAGCCTTTCTCATGTAATACCAGGTTACCCGCCATCCCACCGCATACAAATGCTCTACTCGTTTTCTTGGCGAAGCCTGGTTCCAGTGCTATTGTGCGCATCGGCCTCTTCAAATCAAAATTATACGACTCGGATTGAGAGTGAATAACGACTTGTCCTAGACGTAACGCGCGTTAGTCGGTAGTCTCACGTCGGGTAGGATATCTACCGTCCAAAGAGGCAGTCCCGACGTATTCTGCAGTTTCATCCATCACAATGTCAATGATTGACGCCATGTGAGGTTTATAAGATTTGAGTCGGTTGCCGCCAAGATCGAGAACGTGAACAATTCCAGCGTGTGTGCCTAATGCCTGTGGGGTCAGTGAGCGGGAGCACGAGATGGTTCAAATAAGGAGGGCAACACACCATGAGAGACTTGGATACGCACATTGTGGACGCGGTATCTTTCTTGAGCAGGTCGGGTAGTGAGCCAGCTATTCGTTCGTACTTAAGCGCAGGCTCTTCATCGTCCTCTTCATCGTCCTCTTCCTCTTCCTCTTCCCCTTCCTCATCCTCATCCTCTGCCTCATACTCCACTTCTTTCTCTTCGCCCTCATCCTTGGCCTCGTCCTCAGTTTGGTCCTCCTCGCTTTCAGTCTCTACCTCCTCCTCGGACGTTTGATCCGGACTTTCAACGAATTGGTCTCCGTTCGTTGGAACACCATTCCCGCGCGTGCTGGTATCAGGTTGCTTCACGGAGGGGTCCATCCAGGCATCAAGACCGCCAAGCAAAGGGCGGACTGGAGGCGGTCGTGCGTAGGCTATAGTTTGTCACAGAATCACGATCGCGGTCACGGGAAAGTCGATTAGGCCCGACAGCCGTTCGAGTAATAATGTTTAGTACAAGCTCTGTCAGGAGTCCAAAACGCCATACCGCGTTCGCACGCGTTAGACATCAACTGGCGTTCATTCACAAACTGCATGATACAGTACACAAATAGCTCGAGAAGGGCTTGATTGGGGACGCGATCAAGAAATACGGTTCAATTACTGCTGTGGGGCACGTCGGCGTCCACCAGAACGTCTACCACCTCCGTATCCGCCCCATCCGCCAACGTAAGCTCCTGGGCCCATCAATCCGACGCCTCCAGGTTCTCCGAAGGTGGCAACGTTGCGCTCACGCTCCTCCTCTCTTCGACTGAAGCCGTATCCACCTCGTCCTCGACCACGTCCAGGTCCTCCTCCTCCTCCACCCCGGCCACGCTGGGGTCCTACAGGTGCCGGCGAAAGCGAATCAAAGAAGGATCTCCCGGGATTGTATGCGGAACTAGACCCATCCTTGCCTGTTTCCTCCTCGTCACTTGGATTCGTCCGATCGCTCCCTGGCGTCGACGAATTCACCCTTGCACCCACAGCAGCCTTATCGAATTTTGCATTCATGCTCGCAAAATCAAAGTCCGAGGCGGGGACCGAAACAGTGCCTGGAGTAGCGGGAGATCCCTCAGGCCGCCGTGTGCGTTGCCTACGCCCGTTGGGGTTAGCTGTATTGGAAACACGTAGATCAGCCATGGCACGTCCAACAGTCTCGAGAGATGCCGAGGCAGTGTGGATTGGACTTTGAGCTTGTTGCCGGGGACGGCTTTCTTGACCACGCGATGGCGCCGGTTGAGTGGCTACTGTTGCAGAAATGGGACCGGCAGCTTGTTGAGCGTATGAAGGAGGAGGCTGAGAAGTTGGAGCGGATGGAGCGCCTTGCGTTGAGGCCTGGAACTGGTAAGCGAAAGTGAAAGGGATACGACACATCACTAACCCCAATGACAGCAGGATCGTCATGCACGCTATGACGAGCTATGGGCGTCTCGTCGACCGAAAGATCCTTTACTTCGGACGCGCGGAAAATGATGTATTGGTACGGTTCTTGAACGGGTGGAATGTATTCTTCGACGGGTCTGGGGGAAATTGGCAAAGGAACTACGAGGAAGGGCGCAACTGACCGACGAGTCTCGGTGCCCATAGAGAAGACTGAAACAATGATTAGTACTACACACGATGCTACTGCACACAATCACCATTAGAGAGTTGAATGGTGGACGCTTGCGGGTCGATCCCGGCCAGAATACCACGGTAACGAACATCAGAGTGAGAAATGAGAGATATAGGTTTGCTGAAAAGGAAATGTAAGTATAGAAGCGGTTAAGAAGGTGCACGCGTGCCCAATGAAACTGAGAGCCATATTCGAGTGGAGTGAGAGAAGAAAGAGTCGGTTTGGAACTCCGATGATGGCACATCTTCTCATTTTCCACCTTCAAAACATCTCGTTGTCGAGTCAATTTGCCTCGTCGATACTGCTGTGTACTCTAGTTTGAATATATTCTATGTGAAGACAACATTTTGTGAAGCCAAGACTATGCTGTGGTTCCGGCGAAGAGAAAACCGCAAAAGCCAATCACGCACGTTCCCCGATCGATTGGATCGCTCGTCATATCTTTCCTCCCCCTTCCATGGCCTAGCAATGCTGAACGGTGCAGGAATCAAGATTTTCTCTGGTTTGTTGTGCTTTCTGTGTTTTGAGACCTTCTCATCCTTCTTCTAGGCACGAGCCATCCCGAACTCGCCGAAGTTATTGCTCGGCGGTGTGTTTCTCTGCATTCGATTTTTGCTCGCGTGCCGCTCTGAACACGGACTCACAGTATCGGTCTTCCCCTCTCCCGCGCTGAGATCACCCGAAACAACATCGGCGAAACCAATGTCCGGATTGAAGGTTGCCCAGCATCATTACTCCACAGCTGGTTGCTGATCACCTCGCCACAGAATCCGTTCGCGAGGACGACGTCTACATCGTCAATACCTGCTGCGGTGCTGTCAACACTTCGCTCATGGAGCTCTGCATCATGATCCATGCCTGCAAGATTGCCAGCGCCAAACGTATCACCGCCGTCATTCCCCTTTTTCCCTATGCTCGCCAGGACAAGAAGGACAAAAGCCGTGCACCCATCACGGCCAAGCTCGTCGCGAATATGCTCCAACACTCCGGATGCGACCATGTCATCGTGCGCTCGTTTCTTTTACGTTGGTCCGGACCTAAAATTGATCCGGTCTCAAGACAATGGACTTGCACGCCTCCCAGATCCAGGGCTTCTTCGATGTCCCAGTGGACAAGTGCGTGCTTTTTCGCAGCCGGTCTATGATACATGCTCATTGATTCATCTCAGCGTGAGTAGTAACTTCTCACCAACGCTGCCTCGTTAACGCATACAATGGCAGCTTTACGCCGAACCATCCGCCATCCTCTACATCCGGACGCATTTTACTATGGACAATGTGGTAATCGTTTCGCCTGACGCTGGAGGCGCCAAGCGGTGTGTGGCTCCGCAGCTTTCTGGCGCGGAAGCATTTACTTACCCGGCGTTTCAGTGCGACTTCCATCGCAGATCGACTGGGTGTCGAATTCGCGCTGTTTCACAAAGAGCGAAAGAAGGCCAATGAAGTCTCGCGAATGGTTCTGGTCGGTCAGGTCACCGGGAAAATCGCAATCCTAGTTGACGACATGGCCGACACATGTGGCACCCTTGTGCTCGCGGCTTCGCATCTCGCAGAAGCTGGGGCCTCGTCGGTCTTTGCAATCGTCACGCACGGCATTCTTAGTGGAAACGCACTGAGTGCCGTGACGGAATCGCATCTGGAAAAGCTGATAGTGACCAACACCATCCCTCAGGCTGCCAACATCGCAGCTTGTCCGAAGATAGAGGTCATTGATATCGGCCCTGTGCTGGGTGAGGTCATCCGGCGCAGTCATTACGGGGAGAGCGTCAGCAAGCTCTTCCATGAAGTGCCCTATTAATCTGTCAGAGGCATGTAGGTTAGGAAAAGTGTATGCATATAGTTTCGACCCTGGTGTTTATCTTGTATTTCCACCGGTATTCCATCGGGAACAAGGGTCGATGGTTGATGTTGACAACGTCTCTCCAACATTACAGTACCGTTACACCTTGGGGTAATTTCAAGTCTGACAAGCAGTGGGCGTGTCCCGGTCTCTAGGACAATAGTATGCCGGCGGGAAGCCTTCCCATACTTACAGTACGCAAGTAAAAAGTAGGTCACTCCTGAGGAGTCAGAACTACGCGCATTGGAACACGATTCACCCCTGTGAGCAGGAAAATGACAAGGGCGAGATTCGAACTCGCGCCATTTCTGACTAGTAAGATGACACTCCACGAATGTTAGACCTGAAACTAGCGCCTTAGACCGCTCGGCCACCTTGCCCATGCCAGACCCTCTGACATGCACAATGTGTCTACGTCAGACTGGACGTGTTCATCATTGAATCATGATGATATGATCGACAGCGGCGATTCAAGTTACTTATAATGATATGCGGCTGTTCTTGCCAATTTCTTACGGCTCTCTGTTCTGTTTTCACCACTACGGCAAACGGTGAACAATCCCCACCACCAGCCCTTCCATTCGTTCTATATCCACTCTCATATTCTACTTCTCTTTCATTTATCTCACCCGCCACTCCTCTACGCCTTGCTTTCTCCAACGGGTTTCTTGAGATCTCGTCGTCGTCGCTCTCCAATCTCCTGGAGATACGGATTTTGAATTGAAAGTGGAGATCATGTAAGTTATCCTCAAGCACCCTTTGCACCAATGCTCTGCGTCTGTACGCTTGCACGGGCAACTGATCCTTCCGCAGCACTCCCTCGAAGAAGCTCGCCTCCCTGCTTTGAAGATGGCTCCGAATTTTCTATCCAAATTGGTCAAACCGCCTACCGGGCAGCTGACACGGGACCGGTCTCTGAGCTCTCCCACTCCTCCATCCATTTCCGAGCCCACCGCCAGCCGTACCCCCTCCACTTTCGAGTCCTCATCTTCGTCGTCAACAAACGGATCTACTCTAGGGAATTCCCTTCCTGGAAACCATCCACGCAGCAGCACTTTGTTCAACCCCAGTCTTTCTGTCATCCCTCCAACACCGATTGCTCTCGTTACACCGGATGTGTCTCAATCAAGCTCCATCGACGGCTTACCCGCAAGCGGGAATAGGTATCCGTTTGAAAACCGGCGCCCCGCATCTAAATCCCGCCCAACTACCCCGAAAGCCTCACCTCGTTCATCCCCACGCGGCGAAACTCCTCTGCTGCCCCCGTTGCAGACGAGCAAGACGCGGGACACTAGTAAGGCCGTCTCCAGTCTAGCCCCAGCGCTGGAAATCCACCGTGCGGTGACCAGCCCTTCCCCGATGCTGGATGACGACGAGGACGAATACAACGCTCTCACTGAATCTCCGGTTGCCATGCGAGCCATGGAACTCAGTCCGGCGTCATCCCCAGGGAGGTCTTCACCTCGGCGGGACACAGAGCTGCCCAACAACAAGTCGCGTTCCTGGCGGAAGAATACCAGCAAGAAGCCGGTCGGGCTCGCTGGCGCGCTGGCTGCGACAGGTCTGGCGATGGCCAATCACGGGATGTCTGCGCACCATCAGTCGACCCTCAGCCCGCAGGTGATGAACTCCGGGGGCAGTGATAATCGGGACGGTCCGTCGCTCGTGACCTCGCCGAATCCGAATCCGAGTCTTAGCCGGCGAGGGACGAATGTCGTCAGCCCCGACTTAGGGACACGACCCGTTCCGCTTCGAAGCCGAACGACAGGGTCGCTTTTCGAGGAGAGGCATGGCTATTTCTCCGGACTCGAGGACAGCTCGGATGACGATGGGAATTCTGAATCTGACGTGGACAGCGGGAGTGCACTGGATGATCTTGCCGACGATATCCCTGTGACTGGATTTGCTGTTGCCAGCAACAAACGCAATGCTGAATTTCACGAGCTGTTTCCCGGGGTCCCAGAGGGTGACTATCTCATTGATGGTGTGTGGGATCACCATTCATTTTCGATCTATCTCACCGGATACAGACTATGGATGTGCACTGCAGCGTGAGATTCTGATTCAAGGGCGAATCTATGTTTCCGAGAATCATCTATGCTTTCATGCAAACATTCTCGGTTGGGTTACTGATGTGAGTGGGTCACATGCTGTGGATGTTGGAGAAACTCACGCAGCGAATAGTTGTCTATTCCCATCTACGAGATAACCACACTCGAGAAACGCATGACGGCCTTTGTGATTCCCAATGCCATTCGCATCAAGACTGACCGCGCCGACTGCACATTCGCTTCGTTTCTGTCTCGGGACACCACGTTTGACGTGATTCACAACATCTGGAGACTTGTCCGCCCCACCGATGCAGCGTCAGTCGGGTCTGGGTCGCTCGAAGCCGGTACTGGAATCGAAGCTGGAATCGAGGCACCCGGCGCGGCGCTCCAGCAGCACAAAGCGACGAACTGTGCTTGCAGCAGAGACGGCGGGCACTTCTCAGAGACGGCGCTGGATATTGTCATCCCAGGAACCCCGGAACGCATATACAATCTGGTCTTTGCGAGCGGATTCATCAAGGATTTCATGGCTGTGAACCAGAAGTTGATGGGTAAGGGACATTTGCCTTTCGGAATGACCACTGCTGACAACAGCAGACATTCAGGTCTCGGATTGGACGCCCATAGAGCCAGATTCCAAGCTGCTTGCGCGTAACATGTCGTATATCAAACCGCTGAATGGCAGCATCGGCCCCAAATCAACTAAATGCGAGATCCGTGACGAAATAGCACACATTGAATTCGACGAATACGTGTCAATGTTGACGACGACGCGCACCCCAGATGTGCCCAGCGGAGGCGTGTTCTCTGTCAAAACGCGGACGTGCATCACGTGGTGCACATCGTTCTCAAGCAAAGTCGTGGTGACGACCCAGGTGGACTGGACTGGGCGCAGTTTCATCAAGGGAATCATCGAAAAGTCGGCTATCGATGGGCAGAAGGTCTATCATTCGGACCTGGACAAGGCGATGCGCGAGTACATCAAGGATCACCAATCAGAGTTTATGCCTCAAGGTGTGGACATTGTCGTCGTTCCAGAGCCGTCGCCAGCCGAAGCTACTGCTGTTTCCGAAAGCGCATCGGCGCTTGCGACTCGGGACCTGGAGCGTCGCGGAAGAGGCCTTCAATGGGCTTGGGACACTTTTGCTGGGGCCTCGCAAGTCACTAAACAAAGCACGAAAGGTGCTTTAGAGCTCCTGCGCGATGCATGGGACAATTCGAACTCGACAAGTATTCTCTACGGGCTCATCTTCGTGCTTGTGATAAGCAATATCTGGACATATCTGCGCATGGGGTCCGCTGTTCACGTCAACCGCAAACTCGAGAAAGCGCGTGCCAAGGCTGAAAAGGAGGAGCAGTTGGTTGCAGGTGTCGTCAATGCGCTTTGGGATGAATTGGCTGCTGGGAGGCTTCCCCAAGCGGTGCCCACCACTGCAGCCAGTCTCAAGCAAGAAGTGACCGCAATTTTGAGTACTCTCGACACACTCGAGCAAAGGGTCAGACTGATTCGAGAGAATTTGGGAACTTTAGACTGAATGTCTCTCTGGGCTTTTCGTGGAATGCTTGTATCATAGACGCGTCTTTTTGTTGCTGACACCCAGCTGGATGTACATCTATAATCTCACCTACTCCAATTGTGGACGACTCATTCATTTGCGGTGTCTGCGCAGCTTGCCTCCTAGCACTGCTCTGTGATCTGTTGACCATTGCAAACAGCTTGAGATATACCATTTTCGCCATCCTTTGGGTTATCACCACCGTCCTCCGTAGATTTACTCGCACGTAGCAGACACCGTCTTCACAGCTGATGTCTTTCTGACTGGAACGTGCGCAATAATTACTCGGGCTGCAATGGTGCGCAGGACGCTCGCACGGGCTGTCGCTCGAGGAGATTCATCATGGGGAATGGGGTTCAAGGTACGGGTAATGGGGACTAATAGCAACAACGTCGACCTCAAATGAGTAACATAACTTGTAGCGCCAACAATGGGCGATCTTGCCTTTCCAGGCTAATTGTTCTTGTTAGTATTTCTCACACTCACATTTCTCCTACTTTGATGCTACGTTCGGCGTGCAAACGCGTTGTGGTTCCCGCTGTCCCTCGACTATGGCGTGGGATAGGTGCTGATGCCGCTCAAACTCTAGAGAATATGGCTCGACCAATTCCTAATATTTTCCCCCCTCCGGCCGAACCTACTTTCCAGCCCTACATGTATCTCCCCGAGCTGACCTCGGCCAAGAGCGGCACACGTATGGCAGACCTCACGAATATCCCTCCCCCACAAGACCCTCTGCTCACTCTCGTCGCGTCACACATCATGGGTCACGGCCAACGCGCCAAAGCCAGCCGTCGGATATCACGCACACTGCTCCATATATTCACGCTCACGCGCGCACCCCCTCTTCCCATCTTCCGTGAAGCCGTCCTCCTCTCCTCTCCTGCTGTTCGCGTGTCCTCTAAAACGGTCGGGGCGAAGGTCGTGCACACGCCCCTGGCCTTGAGCGAGAAGCAGCGGGCACATTACGGCATCAAAATCTTGCTCAAGGCTCAATTGAACAGACCTGGAAAGACCATTGAGGAAAGGCTGGCGCGGGAAATGGTAGACATCGTGCAAAAGATGCATGTAGCAGCCGAAGCACACAGGATGGGCGAAAAATTGCCGGGTGCGCTGGGAGAGAAGGAGGAAGTCCACAGACAAGCCATGCTCAACAGGTGCGTTTGCGAGTTTTCAACCTTTTGCTCGGTTTCTGACCCTCCACCAGAGGGAATATCAAGATCAAATTCGGAGGTTCACCAGTGGCACTTGCGTAGACATTCATCTGGCCACCCTTTGAAAGATGTGGGCAATGCAGCTTGATCTTCTCAATATATAATACTGCGGTCTCGTACATGTAGCATCATCGCTTGCTGGGCGGTCACTGAGCGTACTGCATTGTCCACTCTCGGCTGACCCGCTGGGCATCTTTCTCGTTCTCTTTGTAATGCTTAGCAACGTCTGGAGCAAGTGGGTCGTCTGGATTCGGTGCACTCAGCAGGGCCTGCACAGAGAGCAGAACCGTGCGAATTTGCAGTGCTGGAGACCATTTGTCTATGCCTTCGTTAGCCCGGAGAGATGTGGATGGGCACGCGATCAGACCTTTCAAGATATCAAGACAGATGCGCCCGAGTTTGTCTGCAGCACCGTAAGTAGGTTAGCGATGGGATATAGCAATATACGAGACGCACCAATATTGGGATGGTATATCTTGGTCAGGAACCGTACCTTCGGCGGTGCCATGGGGTACTCCTCGGGAAGAAACAACTCTAATTTAAAGATTCCCTCTTGGAAGGCATTTAGGGTGAGCCTATGAAGCCTGGTCATGCGATAGCTGGACCTACGTTGGAAAGGACTGCCATCTGGACCCTGGATCGTAACATCGAAGTATCGTAGGTTATCGTCATGGGGCGCGGCAGTGATACCAGGTGCCGGATCTGCAACTAAACGTTCGGTTTCCTACGATGCAAGCCTCAGAATAGATCGCGGATGTCACTGGAGCAAGCTGCAATAGACCTTGATTATGCGCTAATCGGATAAGAGACAAGATGTGAGCTCGTAGCTGAAATATGTGCGACAGGCCAAGGGAAACAGTGGGAGCTTACTTGCCTTGGGAAGAGCCATGGGAGAACGCGAGACTGATAAGCGCGGCAGATGGGGAGAGAGTGGAAGCGAGATTTGTTTGCTCGTATGTGCTCTACATCACTTCACGCGACGACGCGTAATCCATCCACTCTGCTCTGCACACCAACATGGAGACTTCATTCGCGATTACAGGCAAGGGATATGTCATTGTCGCTGCGGATACGACTTCTGCGCGCTCTATCGTCAAGATGAAGACGGACGAGGATAAAATCAAGGTCCTGAGCCCGCACTTGCTCATGGCTTACTCTGGCGAACCAGGTATGTCGATCTTTGGCAATGAAGCGCGTCCAAATGCCTGCTCTCCCGTGAAGAGGCTGCTGACGCTGTACTATAGGGGATACTGTGCAATTCGCCGAGTATGTAGAGCGCAACATTCGTCTCTACCACATCAGAAACCTGCACGCGCTCCGCCCCGCCGCCTCGGCTGCCTGGATTCGTCGCTCCCTCGCCACATCTCTTCGTTCCCGCAAACCGTATGCCGTCAATCTCCTCCTTGGAGGTTACGACGAGGCCACGAGCACGCCGCACCTGTACTGGATAGATTATATGGGGACGCAGGCCGAAGTCCCATTTGCAGCCCATGGTTATGGATCTTACTTTGCTCTTAGTTTGCTAGACAGGTTCGTGGAGATATTTTTTGTGATTGATTTATATGTAATCGCCCCTTCTCAGGTACCATGATCCCGAAGCAACGCTGGAAGAAGGTCTGTCAACGCTGCGTCGCTGTATCGATGAGGTATCGAAACGTTTGGTGGTCAGTCCGGGGAAGTACAAAGTGAAGGTTGTGGACAAGGACGGTGTCCGTGAAATTGAGCTCTGATTCAATTGTGTATCTCTAAATTCTAATGTCCTCTTCCGGCCTTTCCTTCCGGTTTCCTTGCTTTGAACAACCCTCTGTCTCCGACAACCTGAGTAATGGCGTCAACGTTTGTAGCCGCTTGCGAGCGATTTTCGAATCTCTTCCTGCCTACGATTTGGCTGAGTTGAAATCGGATGGTCTCACCTGCCGACGTACCAATCAGGGCCCAGTTCCTTGTACTGGGAATTCTCAGCATCTCACATTCGACATCCCATCCGCAATGCTGACTTAGTTGTCCGATCCACGTGCGATACTTGCCGTAAGCTGAGGTGTTTCCTTCTGGTCCTAGATTGAATACCTCCGAGAGATCTGCATCTTCAAGCGGGGCCTTGAATCCCGCTGTCGCTTTTCCGCGCTCGAATTTTGCGTCGAATGCCCAAGGACAACACGGAATGTTCAGAAAGCCGCTTGCACCGACTCGGGTGGCAAGTAATGGAGTCCAGGGAGTGAGCTCGTCCGCGTGATTGGCTATAATAAACACGCCAGGGGGAGATGCGAATGGATTTTCTGGGGAGCTGATGTGAAGCACATCTGGAGTAAACGCGCCGACCCGTAAATGTGCTCGTGTTTCTGCGGGGTACGCTTCCCAGGATACTCTGGCTCGCAAATCGACACCGAAGCCCGGATACCCGCATGAGACGAGAATGTGGGTGAGCAAACCGTTGCCGCAACTGAACATTCTTGAGCGAGCACAATTGGGGAGAGCTGCTGCTGCTCACCCAAAGTCGAGAAACCCACTTGGCGGGCGCCCCCAGCCCTTCCACGGCTCATTCAGGGACGATCCTTCCTCGACGGAAGGGAAAGTATCTTTCCACAGCAGGATCAAAAAAGTCGCAATCCCGATGTCTTCAAAGACATGCTTGAGCGGATCGGTGCTTTCAGCCCATGTGTCGACCATTCCCTTGAACTTTTCGCGCATAACGAGATACAAGTCCTGGTACGCTTCCCTGGGAACGACACGATCGTGGTTGACACGCTTCTGGTAGTTGGTTGCTGTTCCCCACCCGTAACGATGGACCGTGTCAAGCAAAGCAAGTGCGGTGCGGTAAAGACGGGAGTTCGGGTCGATCGGCACGTTGGAGGAGAGTAACACGACTTCGACCCTAAGTGTTGGCGGGGACGTTTTCAGATACCGGAAAGCAAGGTGGGAGACCGGTGGATGATAGTAAGGCATGGCGCTAGAATCAGGTACGACGGGAGTGAGAATCAGTGTATTCGGTGCCGTCTGCGAGCCATAAAAGGTGCAGTGCTGGTCCAGTGGCTCATCTCGACCGGGCCTTCTTGGCAAGAGTCGCCGATGAATATTACGCACCGGCTGCAGATCAGCAGCCTTGAATACAGGGACAAGGAGGGGGAAGTTGGATACGGTCTCCTCGATGAGCTCGGATCTCAAAATCAAGGTCGAGTTGTATTCGGGATGATGAACGAGTTGAGCGGTGGCAGCCTCGAACTAAGTACAGGCAGGAATATACAGATGTTAAAGAAGGCGATGCAACGCACAATATCAGGAGGAAAGTCGGCTGGGGCAGAGATTAACGGTGTCCATGACTCTCCGAGCGTAGGGTTATCAGTTGGACCGATGCAAGGCGTAGGCTCAAAACGCGGGCGTGCAGACATCGGGAGTCGATATTTTCTGCAGATGAACTTGGGCTATTCACCGTTCCAGAAAGATCAAAATTCAAGGAACTGGGCAAGACGTCGTAGCGGGGAAGATGGTCGAAGGTCTTGGAGGAGGAAGAACAAACGCAGGCCAAAGTAGACGACTGTAAATGATCGACTCAAGCCGGTGTGCCAAAGGAATCTGATTGTCGTAAATAGATGCGGAATGTCCGCCGATCATATTTTCTCGCCGAGGTCCTTCGTCATCGCCTGTCATTTGCCGGTCCAGCACGAAATTGCGAGGATTCGTGGGAGCCGGCCCGAAACAACACTTGCCAGATACCTCCAGCCTGTCCCTTGAATGCTCGCATGCGCCTGCCGAACTGGCTTCCGCCCGCTGCACCGTATCGCCTGGTCGCGTGCGCACTCCACACAATCCGAGCTCCACATTAGACCGACTCGTTGGGCACGGTTCCTGAGAGGGACAGCATACATCGGAGTTGGCATAGGCTCGATATACATCGTCGATCGACAGTTTAATGCCTCGGCACTGGAAAGAAACTTGCGGACATTATGGGCAGTCAGTGGGCTACTCTGTTGAGCCTGTTTCCTCTATTGACTGCGTTTCATTAGTGCGGTTTGATAACCTACGAGTACAAGATGAACTTCACCCCAGAAAAGTCTGCTCAGATACCCGAGTTGCATGAGCGAGTTGCGGGCATCATGTTCGACCTATTCACATCGAATGGCGGACTATACATCAAGATCGGTTCGTCGATGTTTATTCTCTAATCCATGAACGTTCTCATATGTTCTCTTTTCTTCAGGACAAGCTATTGGTGCTAACGCTGCTTTTCTCCCGGTTGCCGTGCAGCGCAAGTTTGCCTCCCTCTTCGATGATGCGCCTCAAATTTCGTACTCTGAAGTCGTGTCTGTGTTCAAATCCGAGTTCGGCCGCCTTCCCAGTGGACCTGGTGGCGTCTTCGAGTTCTTCGACGAAAACGCTGTTGCAAGTGCCAGTATCGCGCAAGTCCACAAGGCGAGGATGTGGCCTGCGCCAGGTGAGAAGGAAGGTCAGTGGGTTGCTGTCAAGGTGCGAATCCCGCAGTCTCGGCAGTTCCCACTGTTTGAGGGCGTCTCTTAGGTCCAAAAGCCTGCTGTGGCTAAGCAGACAGAGTGGGATTTGGGTGCATATCGGCTGGTGATGTACTTATTCGAAAAAGTGGCGTTTGATCTCCCGGTCTATTTTGTCGTCGGTATGTCCGAGACGATTCATCTCATGGCTTGCAAACTGATTTTTGTTAGACTTTGTATCTGATCATATGCGCCGTGAACTGGATTTCGAGCTCGAGGCTGACAACGCGAGACGGACAGCAGAATTTGTCGCTGCTGATGCACGTCTCTCGAAGACCGTCTACATCCCTCGTGTGTATCCTGAAATCACTACCAAGCGCATCATGTCGGCCGAATGGATTGATGGTACGCGACTCAGCGATCGGGACGGAATTCTTCGTCTTGTCGGGGATCTTCCAGGCCTAGATCAGCCTCTTCGTGGCGGGACGCGGGCCATCTTGGAGCCAATGGTCGAGCTTTTCAGTGCTCAGATGTTCCGATGGGGATGGGTGCACTGTGATCCGCATCCTGGTAACATCATTGTCAGACGACACCCATCCTCTCCGCTCAAACCTCAACTTGTCCTCCTCGACCACGGATTGTACGTGCAGCTGACAGAAGAGTTCCGCCGCGAATGGTGCTCTGTTTGGGAAGGGATGTTGGCAGGAGATTGGAGTGTCGTGGAGAGCGTGACCACGAACTGGGGGGTCGGTCTCCCGGATATGTTTGCCAGTGCCGTTCTTATGCGACCGATACGATTGGGGCGAGGAAGACCAATACCAGCGGCCGATCAACCCACACGGAAGCCCATCGACGAGATGACCAACTATGAACGCAGTGTGCTCATGAAGGCTCAACTGAAGCGTTTCTTGTTGGACACGGATCGGATGCCCAAGGTGCTCATCTTTCTTCTGCGAAACATGCGGTATGTGCCTCATTTTCGCTTCTGTTTCGTCTCTGACTTTTTCCCGCGTAGAATGGTGCAAGGAAACAACAAGACTTTCGGCTCCCCCGTCAACCGTATCAAAATCACTGGCTTCGAGGCATCTCGCGCGCTGGTTCGTTCGCGACACACAACATGGCTGCACAATTACTATCACTACGTGGTTTTCCGGACGGTCATGTTGTCTATAGACGCTGCGTTCTGGATAGGTCGTTTCAAACAGTGGGTTTGGACCACCTTCGGCTGGGGACAGGCAAATAGAGGATTCGAGGACGAGCTCGAACGTAATGTACGAGGCTTAGCCAAAAGCAATCTTGGCATGGATATCTCTCCCGACGTATTCGACGGATAATGTATCGTACTGCACTTTGACTATAATCGACACCATTCACAAAACTTTTCTCCGCTTTTGCCCGCGTACATTCCAGTCCGACGCATCAGAGTCAAGTGTACGAGAAGCAATGGATGAAGGATAGAATATCTTCCTGGACCGATCTCACTGTCTCTTTTTAGGCATACGTTGTTTACTGCAGTTGTCCCCTTCAGACCGATTAATTTCATCGTTGCACTGTACAACAAAATTGCAAGTGATAACCTGTGTTCTCATCACCTTCTCCGCCTGTAATCGCGGTCGCGCGAATCATCCCGGCGGCGATCGTAATCTCCGTTTCGACGAGGTGGGGATTCTGCCCTTCGGCGCGGAGGCGAATCATCGCGACGAGATCCTCGAGGAGGCGATTGACGGCGAGTACGGCTATCATCGCGGTGGTCAGCTTGCCGGCGAGTGGCCTCGCGATGCCGAGGAGGAGTATCATCCTGTCGGCGGCGTGGGCTGTCATCTCGACGCCTCTCCTCTTTGTGCCGAGGAGGAGTATCGTCTCGTCGTGTTTCTCTTCGACTGCCGCGGCGTCTCGAATCATCTGAGTCCGAATCCGAGTCGCTGGAATCCGAGTCCGAGTCCGTGTCCGAATCTGAGGAGTCTGAATCCGAGTCGGACGACTCGGCCTCGAGCATCGCCCGCCGTTGCTCCATGATCATCCGCGGTGCGTTCTTCAGATGTTCACGCATGTCCTCCGTGATCGCGCCGAGTCCGATACTTGTGTAATAGTTGATCGCGAAACGAGTATTTTTTGGCACATCCATCGGGAACATTCCCTGGCAGCCTTGTCGAATCTCCGAATCCTTGAACCGTTCCGCAACAGTCTTCAGACCCATGCTTTCCGTCATCTCCGTCATCATGATTTTCACGAAAATTCGACTGCTGCTGGTCGTGTCATCCTCCGTCATTTTGATGCATCGGAGAACCATCCACGAAATGGCATCGGTGCTGAGCATGTGACCAAACAGCCGAGCTATATTCCGTAGCCGGTTCGTCTCGTAGCGGTGGATCGTGCCGTAGTAGTTTTCGAACGCTTGCTCAAAACAATCCGTCCAGATGCGATTGAGCTTGCTGAAACGTTCCCCGACAAGACCATAGAAACTTGAGTAGGACCGCTCCTGCGAACAACACTCGATCACCATGTTTACCAGCTCGATCTGATTCATCGGGCTGTGGGTAAAGGCAAATGGGGGAATATCAATGAACGCACCTCTTCCCCTTCTTGAAGCTGGATCTTCAACAACTTATGCACAGCTTCCTCGTAGTTCAGTGCATTCATGATCGAAAGGTAGATTGTGCGTCGGAGGTTGACCAGATTGGTCTCGGTACGGTCTTCGATGCCTTCCTTGTTTTCGGGCACTGTGTGGCGACATGAGATGAGAAGTACGATACGGAGGTCGCGCATGCCTTCGTTTTCATCCTCACTGGACTCTTCCGACTCGCTTTCGTCCTCCTCGTCGTCTTCACCCAGGATTTCGGCCTTGATAGCCTTGTATTTTTCTTCGTTTTCAAGATAGTTCGCGTCGAATTTGAAGATGTCTAGAGGGAGGATCAGAGATGCAAGCAACACCGTAGACAGCGCGACAAGACGGACTTAAGCCTTCCTGCACCTGGAGCTCCTCCTCCAACTGGATCTGATGGGTGATTTGATCATCCTCCTCAACAAGATCCAGGCCCTCAGGGATGATAGGGTTGTCTTTGTACTTGTCCTTGCGGACCTGCATGAGAACTTCGATCATGTACTGCACACGCTGGCTAATGCTGCCCTCGTTGAGCACAGCCCGGAACCGCTCAAATACCGTAGCGTTGGCTTTGGGCGAGTTCTCAGCCAAGAAGGCACCAACTTCGCGCATGAAGCCTACCGCGATTTCGATCGAGTCGTCCGTGGGCCGCTCAATGAGCAAGATGATGATTTGCAGCGCAACAAGTTCATGAGCGACAGTCTGGTTGACGAGATGCGCAATGAAGGTCGTGGTGGAATGGCAGATGATCTCCAGAGCGAGGATAAGTTCCTGAGAAGGGTGCTGATAACACAGGTCGCACCTTGTCATTCCGCTTGAAAGCTCTGCGAAACTGGCTAATCAAACGGGAGAGCAGCAATTCACCCACTTGAGGCAACTTCGTGTTCACAACAGCCACCAGAGCAGCAAAGACCGGCGTGAAAGGTAAACTGGCCGCTTGCGCCTTCATGATACTACGCGCGAAAAGTCCCCGGCCACGAATGAGATTCTCCGAAAACAGCTCCGGCACGACAGACTTGATGTTCAGGATGTTGACTCGGTTCACAATACCGGTGATCGACTTGCGCAGGGCGTCCCAGGACAGACGTTGGTATTCAGCACTTGACTTGTCTGAAGCCGCAGCCGCTTGGAGAGCCCTCAAACGCGCCGGAGGCATGTACACCCCACCCGAGCGCGATCCTACCAGTTTCGCAAACTCTGCCTGGGCATCCAAATCCGGCTCTTTGGGTTTGACGGGGTTGTCTGCCTTCTCGAGCTCCATCGCAGCAACACGAGCCGCAAGTTGGCGTTCGCGCTCTGCGCGACGTACGGGGTCGACGTCTTGCACTCGGGGTGCGTCGCTCCGAGCGCGAAAAGAAGGTGAGCGCGACCGGCGACGACTTGAGGGGGGGACATCTTGGTGCGGGGAGCCGGACCTGACAGACAATAAGAACGTATTATGAACGTCGAACGCGAGTCTGAGCACCTTTTCCTCTTGTGTTCTCGACCGCTGGGAGAGTCCATTGGTGTTGGCGCTGAGGACGGATGGGATGTCAGTCAATAGACCCAAACAACAATCAATGTCAATTGAGTTGATCGTTCCCGAACTCTCGTTCTATTTTTCTGCCGTTAAAGCGTATTGCACGTAGACCTGCTATTTCCCGCACATTAGGAGCAGACAAGCTCGTATGGCAAGGGAGCTGGCCAGAGTACTGCACTCCTATGGGAGAGATCCACCAACTGTCCTACACTTGAATCGACGCAAGGCAGGTGTTATGGATAACTTGAGAATTCCCTCGATCCTCGATTGCCGAGTTGATGGTAATTAATGATGGCATCATTAATCAAATCAACGACGAGTCATCATGATCAAGAAGCCGACAGAATCAACAAGAATGTGGTGGAACATTATAGCATCAGGGAGAAGGTGCCGGAATATTGTAGATAGAACTATGTACAAGGGTATAAAAGCCCAAACTCTTATGAATGAATACAATCTTTTCCCGTATAACACAATCACCGTGTGATCTAAGTACTTTGCTTAAGCTCACCGCCCTGATAAGTAATAAACTATCAGTGTTGGTAATCCACCAGCTGTAAGGCTTCTGAGTTATAAACCAGTCGTCTAGACTATTCAAGTTATAAACTGAGTAGTTAGCTGTAAGTAAGTGTATTGAGAACTCTCGTTTGGTTGCTGAACTACTCTTTTGGGAGTCGATCTTACCTCACTCACGCTACGTTCCGATCAACAGATTATTTCGCTAGTATTCGCTTAACGAAGCAATCATATCGTTAACATTGGTGGACTATACCGGAGTAGTTCTGTTAGAAGCCTTAGTGAGTTCTCAAACCAATATTTCCCTTCTCCTTTGGCAGCGACTTCCGCAGTCCTTGGCACGGCATGTCTCCCACGACCACTGAGCCTGGTCCGGAGGAGCCTTCTATTCGACCTCCTTCAGAGCACGGAGCTAACGCTTCCTCAGCTGCCAGTACTGCTGACTCTTTCCAATCCCCCTTCTTGGACCCGGAAAATCCTCCTGGGCCAAATTTCCCGACTCAAGAAGACGTCTCGAGACTGACTTCGCGAGCTTATCAGGATTTCTTCGCTCATATGGAAACTCTAGGTCCATACAAAGGACCAGTCGAGGATTCGGAAATCGATCCAGATTGGCCCCCGGTGACCCTTGAATTGGAGCTTTCTCCGCTCCGTCCACATTCAAGGATCTCGGACGACGCGGCTGCTCTGGAATGCCGGCAGCTGGCAATCACTCGAGGCGCTCGCGTGTTGGATAAGGACTTTCTGTTCAATGCCCATCAGGCTTCGCGCAAAATGTTCTCAATAACGTTCTCTAGGGAACTGGAACAATTGGACGTAGCCCTGACGCGCATTCAGATGCTTAGGACCAAAAAAGGAAGGCGAGTATATCGCGTCGTCAAGGAAGAGTACACTGCACTGAACAGGATGTTATTCAAGCTGTTAAGAAGTTCTCGTGACGCTTTTCGACTAGCCGGAAAGACACCTCCGGAGCTCCCGTCCTGGGGTGATGATCTAGACTTATTAGACTGCCTGAAACCGAGCTCATTCCTAGTTGCTGCGGTTTGCCTTCGTGTCGAGGTGGAGCATTTCTTATGGATCCTCGATAAGCATTATGACTTTGAGGAAGATCGTCCACAAGACCGCTTTGTTACTCCCTCGGTGGATCAACTTCACGTTTCCGAGAGCATTAGCACAGCACCTCGACGCTCGGCTAGCCTGGCGACGGCCGGAACGGCTCGTCCTGGTCAGGAAAGTTATGTCTATGATCCAATTTCAAAAGTGAGCACGTCGACTACTTATCCACTGCGAAATGTGTCCACTGTACGCTTCAGCTCCAACCCTAGAGTGCCACCAATCCAAGCTACTAGCCGCATGGACGAAGTGCTGAATCCTATCGCACCGCACCACTACGGATCGCATTCCGGATTTAGCGCAGACCGCTTGCACATGGAGCCGGTGGAGGCTGCTCAGATGCGTCGTATGACGCCTCAGGGTGAGCGAGAGCTCCCTCCGCACCTCGAGCCAACCGGACCGCCTTCACCTCAACCTCTCCGCCCATCCGCAGGGCTGACACCGTCAGGAAACCCTGGAGACGATGATAGCAGCGATGACGAGGAAGGCGACCGCAGGGGTAGAGGGTTACCGGGCCCCCCAAACCGAGCGACACCCAATCACGCAGCCAGGCGCACTCCTACGACGCCATCTGTACCATTAGGGTCACGTCCACCTGCAACGCAAACACCGCACTTCGATTTTAAATTGAAACAGGAAAATGTTCCTAAGTGGGACGGTAACGTTGATAACATCATGAGATGGATCATTAAAATCAACGATATTGCGAAAGAATCAGCGATGGTCTGGCAGCAGTTAGGAAGGGTGGTCCCAAAGAGGCTCGAAGGCGAGGCTGAAACTTGGTACTGGTCACTGCCCCATTCCTACCGGAGTGAAATTGAGAGGAACTGGGACACTCTCAAAGGTGCTTTCCAAACTTACTTCCTGAATCGAAAGTGGCTGGATAAGCAGCGCGGGAGAGCGAACAGAGCCTCGTATCGTGAGGCGGGCCATTCACGTGAGACTCCAAGCGAATACTTTATTCGCAAAGCTGACTTACTGAACATGGTACATAACCTGACTGACTCTCAGCTTATGCTCGAGATCATGGACGGGGCTCCCTCCACTTGGAATACGATTTTGACTACGCAGCAGTATGCGAACATAGTTGAATTCCAGTCGGCCATTAGGTATCATGAGGACGCGTTGATGAAAATGGATCAGTTTGACCGCCAATTCTCATCTCATCGCGACTACCGCAAACGCGACCGTGACCGGAGTAATTATTGTGACTCTGAAAAGGGAATTGAGCGGAGCGGTCGATACGAAAAGGATCGAACACGGACGGCACGAGCGAATGCAGCGAACGCAGTCGGATGGTCCCGAACTCTCGATCCTCCGAAGTTCCCAAAGGACGACCGTAACGTCTCAAAGAAAGGAACCCCCGAATCCAAAAATGCTCGACCTTGTCGACACTGTGGAAGCGGGAAGCATTGGGACTACGAGTGTAAGCATTCGTTCAAAGGAAAAAAAATTGCCAGGACGAATCTTATCACGTCCAACAGTGAAGATCTTGAGGCGCAGTCAGACTACGATGATTTGTTCTACAGTCTTGAGGATGATACTGTATCAGAGTCAGAAGAAACGGGGCAGGATTTTGAGGAGTCCCTCCAGACTACTGAAGCTCATGGTGATTCAAGCGCTTCAGCCCTGGAGGGGATAAATGATTCCGCGAACTCCTCGGAAGCCCGGCCTTCATACACTTCTGACTCTGAAAACACATCCTCTTCGGCTGCTCCGGCTTGCTATAGAATCAAACCGGCCCTGAATAGAAACTCTAGACAAAGACTAGCGCGTGAGATCCAGGCCAAAAGTTTCTTTACGCATACCGAAGAGCCGTTTGACCCAGCTTCGCGGAGACGTATTGTCGAACTCCGAAAACACATGGCTAGGCCGCCTGGGTGCTCATTCCTGGGATCACAGCCAACCGAGGCCACGGTTACAGTGAACAGTGTAAATCTGGACCCAATCAAGGTCATCGTAGATTCAGGGTCTGATATAACATTGTTGTCGGAGAAAACGCTTAAACAGCTGACTCACCCTCCAAAAATGAAAGCCGGCCAAAATGTGGACTTGGTACAGGTCACTGGTAACTGCTCTATTTCGGGATTCGTGAATCTGGATATCTATTTTCATCCGAAGGAGGGCCCGATTAAGATGAATGTCGACGCGTACGTCCTGAAAGGAATGAGTACTCCGTTCATCTTGGGCAATGACTTCGCAGACCAGTATTCCATATCGATCATCCGCAACGCTGGAGAAACGTATCTCCAATTCGGCGGTTCTGATCGTACAGTCCCGGTGGAGAGTTCTACTTCGTCAGATATTTGGGAGGACGAGCAAGGTCATGCTTTTCGAATCAAGGTCCGCCCGGGGATCCCAAGTCGAGGACCTAAGGCAACGATTCATCGGCGCAATAAGAAGCTGAAGGCAAGATCTCGACGTCGCTCTTCTGAAGTCTGGGCCACACAAAGAACAGTAGTCCCAGGAGAATCGAGCGCTGCAATCCGCGTCAAGTTGAACGCGCCGCCGACTCTTGTAGCCGTGTTTGTTGAACGGCACTTGGCTTCAAATGGTAACACAGATGATGTGTACGGATCGGCGGACTCACTTATTTCGACCAAGGACCCATTTCTTCACGTTGCAAACTTCACAAAACAACCCATTGTCATATCGGAAGGCCAAATCCTTGGCAGGTGGAGAAATCCGGGGACGTGGCTGGATAAAGCGTCGAAATTCTCGAAGGAAAAGAAGGATCGAATGACTCGACACGCAATGTTGATCCGGGAGCTGGTGTATGTCACAGGAGAATCGCGAAGGGGAGAGAAAGCGAGCAACGGGAATCCTTCAAAGCAGTCGTCAGCCACATCCATCCGTTCTACGTCATCAATTTCTTCCAAAGCACATCGTAACGCAACCGGGCCAAACGACGTCTTAGCCGAAGACCCCACCGAAGGTGGTCCAAAAACGTCAGAAACAGCTGACGAGATGGTGCCTAGCGGTAGGCTACTTGAGGAAGTTGATATTTCAATAGAGCTCGACGGCGAGCGTCGAAAAGCTCTTGAGAATGTCATTTTGCGCAATAAACTAGCGTTTGGGTTGGATGGGAGACTGGGCAACTACGAAAGTCAGATCGAGATTAGGATGAAGCCGGACTCTGAACCTATCTCCTTGCCGCCGTTCCCTGCCTCACCGGCTAAACGCGAGGTTATCGACAAACAAATGGATTCGTGGATCCAGTTGGGGGTGATTGAACCGTCTGTAAGCCCATGGGCTGCGCCTGTCTTTATCGTGTACCGAAATGACAAACCACGGATGGTTATTGACTTACGAAGGTTGAACGAAATGGTCATCCCTGACGAGTTCCCCTTACCAAAGCAAGACGACATTTTGCAAGCGCTTACAGGGTCACAATGGCTCACTACACTGGACGCCCTGTCAGGTTTCACGCAGCTAACCATGTCAGCGGAATCTTCGGAAAAATTGGCATTCAGAACGCATCGCGGACTCTGGCAGTTCAAACGTATGCCGTTCGGCTACCAGAACGGCCCTAGCGTCTTTCAGAGGGTCATGCAGAATGTGCTGGCCCCCTTCTTGTGGATTTTTGCGTTAGTGTACATCGACGATATAGTTGTATATTCGCTCACGTTTGAGGAACATCTCAATCATTTGAACATGGTCTTTGGTGCAATCGTGAAAGCGAACATCACATTATCGCCCTCGAAATGTCATTTTGCTTACCAATCCTTAATGTTGCTGGGCCAAAAGGTCTCTAGACTCGGGCTCTCGACGCATAAGGAAAAGGTTGATGCAATAGTGGAACTTGACAAACCGTGAAACGTTAAGGAGCTACAACACTTCCTGGGAATGATGACTTACTTTTCTTCATACGTCCCATTCTATGCGTGGATAGCTCGACCTTTCTTTCTACTACTGAAGAAGGGCATACCGTGGGAGTGGATGGAATTGCACGCGGAGGCCTTCGAGCTGTGCAAGCAAGTGCTTGTAAATGCTCCTGTCCGCGGCTACGCAATCCCGGGACGACCTTATCGAGTATATTTGTCGAACGCTCTAGTCCACCAATGTTAACGATATGATTGCTTCGTTAAGCGAATACTAGCGAAATAATCTGTTGATCGGAACGTAGCGTGAGTGAGGTAAGATCGACTCCCAAAAGAGTAGTTCAGCAACCAAACGAGAGTTCTCAATACACTTACTTACAGCTAACTACTCAGTTTATAACTTGAATAGTCTAGACGACTGGTTTATAACTCAGAAGCCTTACAGCTGGTGGATTACCAACACTGATAGTTTATTACTTATCAGGGCGGTGAGCTTAAGCAAAGTACTTAGATCACACGGTGATTGTGTTATACGGGAAAAGATTGTATTCATTCATAAGAGTTTGGGCTTTTATACCCTTGTACATAGTTCTATCTACAATATTCCGGCACCTTCTCCCTGATGCTATAATGTTCCACCACATTCTTGTTGATTCTGTCGGCTTCTTGATCATGATGACTCGTCGTTGATTTGATTAATGATGCCATCATTAATTACCATCAACTCGGCAATCGAGGATCGAGGGAATTCTCAAGTTATCCATAACATATCCCCTCCTGCCTCGATCTGAGAGCAAAACCTCAGTTTCATTTTCCCAATTCTAACAGCAGTAATTCCGCGGGCGGTAAATACAGTTACATTGGTTTGAGTCACACTGGCGAATCGAGCAGTCATACACCTAAAAGTACAGTAATATACAACTATGCGCGGTGAGTCAACGGAGAGGCGCGTAGTAATCGGGGCCAATGAAGCAAACGTTGCCTCACTGATAGGCCTTGAGCTCGGGACGCATCTCCGACCCCACAGCCCACGGGTTCGTGCAGCGATGCGTAGCATTATGCAGGCGTATGTCCTGCCACTGCCTTTGGAGCTCCACCTGTACTCGCAGATGCTCCAACTCGAGCTGAGGGTCAGAGGGGACACGCACCATCTGAGCCGTGTGGGACCGCGCCGCCACCTTTGCTTTCATTTGGACGATATCCTCCAATTCGGACCAGCGAACGTTCGATTTCGAAACGCTCCGCTCAAGATCGTGCGCGACGCTTTGATATTGGCTGGTGTTCTGTCCCTTCAGCGGCCAGATGGTAGTGAGCAATAAGTCGGGCTTTGAGTCGTCCCTGAATTGCACGAGCGCTTCGATACAGCCCTTAGGCAGCAGCGTACGAGCAGTCACTGTTCGTGTCCTTTAGCGTTTCATAGAGATTATGAAAGTAGATGCGTACTGAAGGCCATGGTGTTTGACCAGAGTGGATTCCGAACAAAATCGGTCAGTCAAGTCCGGAATGTCCCGCATTGTGCCCATTGTCGCATCCGTCCAGTGTTGATGGGAAACGCCGATGAAGTTGCCCGGGTGCCAGGCAGACTCGGAGCCGCAGCGCCGCGCCGTCGTCATGATAAACACAAGCTGATGGCCAAGATAGTTGTGAATTTGACGCATAGACATCACGTACTGTTTAGCTTCGTCCATGGACCCAAAGAATGGAGCCGGATCCGCACGGAAACAACGGATGAGAGCTGCCATGTTGAGTTTGTCGGGCAAGGCAACTTGGTCGAGTTGCTCGGGTGAAAATCCCCGCGGAACCGCCAGAATTTCACGCCTCGCTGAATCCAAGGTTAGAGAGTTGTAAACGATGACTGAGTACATCTGCGAACCGTTCAGCCCGAACTCCGCTGGCAACTCTTTGGCCGAACTGGACATAATGGCCGTAACGACTCGATTAATATTGCCGCGAAGTTCTTCGAGGATCTGAGGCTTGATGGCCAAGCCCGCGGTTCGTCGATTGCAAGAATCGCTGCGCCACGCCGTCTCGAAGCACGATTCGGAGACTGCATCATGGAGGCTGGGGAAAGTTCCGAGGAGCGCGTAAAACCGGCTGATGAATACTGGATTGCCTGAAGAGTCGTCAGTATGATCATCTGGCGAATTGACGTTGGCGCACCAACAACCGATCTCAAGCCAGTCATCGGATTGTCTACGTCGAACACCAGGCGCGGGATCATAGCCAGAAGGCCGAAAGTAGAGGTTTCCGAATCGATTGTTGCTGCTGGCGTCGAAGTAGTCGTTGTCGGCGTAGACGGTGTGGCAGGCGGAGTCGTAGGATATCCGTCAGGAAGGCCTTGGCAGAGCGGGAAGGCTTCCAAGTTGGCGCCTCGAATTTCAATGCGAACACTTCGATTCTTGCTCATACTGAGTTGTGATGCAAAAAGAAGCGCATAATTGCCGTACCTTTCCCGACACTACGTGCCCGTAACTCTGCCGAAACCGGGTCGAGAATTGAGAGTAACGATTTGCCGCGCTTTTGTGCAGGGCAAAGACGGTGAGCAGAAGCCCATCAAAGAGCGTCATTTCAGGGTAGAAGATGGTTTATGAAGAAAGAGATGGAGGTGGTTTGCGAACTGGTAATAGAAGGATTCAGTTGAGGATCCAAGCGAACTGGGAACACAGTGTCCGCTTTAGCGCCGATTATTTTATATCAATTCTGTTTACGATTGTTCCAGTTTCCAAGCGCTTCTGGAGCATTCCTCAGATTTCTCTTAGTCAGCCACTCGTCATGGTCGGCGCCGAATCCCTTCCATCGGACCTTGTATTGCAGGATTCGACGGCCTCAAATTTTACGCGTTCTTTCAGCGATGATTCGATCGATCTCAACTTCAGGGAGTGCATCAAAGTCATCCCGATTCAAGGCCTTTGTCGAACGCTCCCCCAGCTCGGTTGGCGAGGTGTTGTATGGCTCGAGATGAGCGATATTAATGATGGGGTGAAGGCCATAAGAAATCGGAAGTCTCAATTGGTATGTCACCGGGCTGAGCTTACGGATCACCTCGAACGGCCCATCATATCTTATTAGAAGTTTCTTACCTCGGCCCTTTTCCTCTCTCAATAGATTCAAGGAATGAGGATTGAGTAGAACCCAGTCCCCTTCATCGAATTCCTTGACAAGGCGTCCTTGATTATATGCCCGTCTTTGGAAGGCTTGAGAGAGCGAGATGGCTTCTCTAGCTCGTGTTTTTTCTGCTTCAAACTCTTCGACTATTTGTGTCGCCTTTTCGTTCCAGACCACCTGATCATCCCCTCCACCAATTGATTCTTCCGCCGTGCGCTTTATTGAGTTATCGGCCGAAACTAGCGAAGTCGGTGTGATCGGTGTGTAGCCGCGTAATAGAAAGGCTGGGGCTAGGCCCGTTGACGTATGGGGCGTTGAATTGTATGATAATTTAATTGCGTCCAGCTTGGACGCCCAGTCTTGTCGTGACGGGCCTACGTACGCTCTCAAGGTTATTTCTAACTGCTGATTCATGGCTTCGGTCTGCCCGTCCGCTTGGGGGTGGTACGCAGTCGTTAGCGCACGTTTCATGCCAAGTAGCCGGCAAATTTCATTCCAAAAGTCATGTCTCCACCTCGTATCCCTGTCCGAGATTACTTGACGTGGAATACCGTATTCCGCAATCACATGCTTGAAAAATAACTTGGCTGTTTCCACCTCGTTGATTTTCGTTGAGCACGGGATGAATAAGGCGTATTTGGTCAACTTGTCCACGATCACAAGTATATTGTCGAGACCATCCGACGTCGGCAGTTCGGGAATGAAGTCCATGGAAATAACCTCAAATGGTTGACTTGGAATCGGGATCGGTTGTAGCAAGCCTGATATAGGATGGCGACGCGGCTTGGTTTTCTGACATACATCACATGTTGTAACAAACCTTTTGATGTCTCGCGCCATGCGAGGCCAGTAATGCGTAGCCGCGAGTCGGTTGTATGTGCGGTGATAGCCTGCGTGAGCTCCTTCTGATATTGTGTCATGTACTTCTGACATTACTGCATTACGGAGCGTTTCCGGGACGCACAAACGATTGTTTCCATTCCAATCCTCGAAAAGCAGTAGTCCAGCATCAGTGTAATGGTACTGGGGATAGTTAGGATTGTTCCAATCCTCTTCCTTGCTCATTCCCTCGATTACATGACCAAAGTGCTTGTCAGTTTTGTATCCTTCGCTCCAGCTCTTCACTTCTTCGGCCCCCATCCCAACGAGAATAGAATAGCAGTTCGATGTCACGTAGTCTTGATCTAGCTTGCAACCTTTCTCCGTTGCAACGTGAAATACTTCGCTAATCCCAAGGTCTTCCTCACTTTCCATTTGGTGTTTATTAGTTTTTAGAAGTTTCTCTTCGAACCGTGGAGCAAGTTCTTCGAACATGTCTTTCATTGGATCATCTGTTCCTAGCTCGACGGCCATAATAGGGTCCGCGACGGGTCCGACTTGTACCGGGACGCGTCTCCGAAGTCTAGATATTGGGTCCACATTCGAATGCACTCGGCCGGCTCGATGCACTATTTTGAGACCCGGGTACGCCGAAAACACTGTTCCCCATGTCAGAAGGCGTCGATTCACATTCTGAAAGGTACGGCTCCAAGTAAGTGCTGCATGATCTGTTATTGCCAGCACCTTTTCGCCTTCCAGGAACGGCTGGAACTTCACCAAGGCCTCTTTCAGTGCCAGAGCTTCGCGTTCAGTCGGTGAGTAATTTCGCTCGGGTGACTTTAATACCCGCGACCAATAGCAGATTAATCTTTCAATGTGAACAATAGACTCCTCGAATTCGGTGGCCCAATTGTCCGGTTCTGGGACGTCCTCGATCCCCTTTATGACTGTTGCTAGTTTGGGTATTTTTTCACCGAGATTGTGCGCGCGTTTGAGGCGTTCATAGACCCTGGTCCCGCGCAAATCGCGTACCTTGATTGGTTGCACTTGCTGCAATATCCCAGCTAAGCCAAAGTCACAAGCCCATCAACACTGGACGGATGCGACAATGGGCACAATGCGGGACATTCCGGACTTGACCGATTTTGTTCGGAATCCACTCTGGTCAAACACCATGGCCTTCAGTACGCATCTACTTTCATAATCTCTATGAAACGCTAAAGGACACGAACAGTGACTGCTCGTACGCTGCTGCCTAAGGGCTGTATCGAAGCGCTCGTGCAATTCAGGGACGACTCAAAGCCCGACTTATTGCTCACTACCATCTGGCCGCTGAAGGGACAGAACACCAGCCAATATCAAAGCGTCGCGCACGATCTTGAGCGGAGCGTTTCGAAATCGAACGTTCGCTGGTCCGAATTGGAGGATATCGTCCAAATGAAAGCAAAGGTGGCGGCGCGGTCCCACACGGCTCAGATGGTGCGTGTCCCCTCTGACCCTCAGCTCGAGTTGGAGCATCTGCGAGTACAGGTGGAGCTCCAAAGGCAGTGGCAGGACATACGCCTGCATAATGCTACGCATCGCTGCACGAACCCGTGGGCTGTGGGGTCGGAGATGCGTCCCGAGCTCAAGGCCTATCAGTGAGGCAACGTTTGCTTCATTGGCCCCGATTACTACGCGCCTCTCCGTTGACTCACCGCGCATAGTTGTATATTACTGTACTTTTAGGTGTATGACTGCTCGATTCGCCAGTGTGACTCAAACCAATGTAACTGTATTTACCGCCCGCGGAATTACTGCTGTTAGAATTGGGAAAATGAAACTGAGGTTTTGCTCTCAGATCGATGCAGGAGGGGATATGTTATGGATAACTTGAGAATTCCCTCGATCCTCGATTGCCGAGTTGATGGTAATTAATGATGGCATCATTAATCAAATCAACGACGAGTCATCATGATCAAGAAGCCGACAGAATCAACAAGAATGTGGTGGAACATTATAGCATCAGGGAGAAGGTGCCGGAATATTGTAGATAGAACTATGTACAAGGGTATAAAAGCCCAAACTCTTATGAATGAATACAATCTTTTCCCGTATAACACAATCACCGTGTGATCTAAGTACTTTGCTTAAGCTCACCGCCCTGATAAGTAATAAACTATCAGTGTTGGTAATCCACCAGCTGTAAGGCTTCTGAGTTATAAACCAGTCGTCTAGACTATTCAAGTTATAAACTGAGTAGTTAGCTGTAAGTAAGTGTATTGAGAACTCTCGTTTGGTTGCTGAACTACTCTTTTGGGAGTCGATCTTACCTCACTCACGCTACGTTCCGATCAACAGATTATTTCGCTAGTATTCGCTTAACGAAGCAATCATATCGTTAACAGCAGGACCTAGATGATGGCATGCACCGTCGGGCCTTGAACATCTAGGTCTCTGAAGCGTCGTCCTATATCCAACACTATCCCGCTACCTCGGTGAAGGGTCGGTGGGACAGTACGGCTTTGCTGACTGTAGCCGCGCTGAATGGCTCTGCGCAGGTTTTGTAAGGCTACCTACAAGGTTCTACGCCGACATAACCCGTGCACAAACATACAAAAGTGCAGATATGCTTCCAACCAGTCTATTTAAAAACCGACAGATCCCAGCCAGCAATGTCGCCTCAAAAGCGTTCCATCCTCATCATCGGTGGTAGTGGTGCTCTGGGAAAACCGCTGACAGAGACATTCCTCCGGCGGAAAGATCGTTTCGGTCGCATTGCCATTCTTTCTGAACCTGAAAAGGCCCACAAGCTGGATATTGCCCGAGCATTAGGTGCCGAGTTTGTCTTCGGCTCGTTTCTTGACGCCGAGATCTACCATGGTCTGCCTTCCCAATCTCCCTCTGACGCACATCTCACTCACTCTTTGCAGGGTTCGACATTGTTTTCTCGCTTGTGGGTGATCCCATCATGCGTTTGCAGCCAGCCATGAGCGAGGCTGCCGTCAAAGGTGGCGTGCGCCACTTCTATCCCTCCGAATACGGCACGGATATATCTCAAGAAGGCATTTGGTCGTTCCGATATCTCCGGGACAAGGTGGTGACACGCGATCATCTCCGTGCCACCGCCAAGCGCGTTCCAGGCTTCAAGTACACGCTCGTGCTCGTGGGCCTGTTTACAGAATATGCGTGTTCGCCGTTCAGTGGATTCGATCTGGACAACCATACCGTGGAGGTTTATGGAAATGCGGACGCGGGGTGACTGTTACTGCCTTGAAGGAGTGCGTGGGGACAGTCACATTTCAACGACCAGAGCTAACATGCATCCCAGCGTTGTTCGTTACATCGTTGGCTCAGTGTTCCTTCTCTTCCCAGAGGGCGAGTACTGGCGCGAAATTCGTGCTCGCGGGGACCACCTGCCCTTCAGTGGGCTCATTTCCGCGCTGGAGAAAGCACAAGGAGTTCAGTAAACCATCACGTATATCGACCCAGCCGAAGCAGCCAAGAAACAAGAAAAAGCGCGCATTCGAGGGGATGAGAGTGGAGAACTGATGGGGGCAGCAAAGACAGCTGCCGCGACGGGTAAGGCTTTTGTCCCTGGCCCGCTGGATAACGATAAATTCGAATTCACGCCGGAGACTGCGCAAGAGACTCTCAGTCGACTGTTTTCTCTGTAACCGTGACAAAATCAGTTATCTGAATGCGCTTTGTTTCTTGCTTTGAGATCTAGTGTACTTCCGCACGTTGTATAGAGGAGAAAAATGCCATGTTCGGCAGGTTTTGATCGGGGTCCCTGCAAGGCTGCATGTATCCCATCTGCCGTCACGTGTGAGGTCTTGAGCACGTTCCAGCATTAGCATAGAGGTGTGCGATGCCCTGGAAAATCTGAAAGAAACTCACTCGGGCATGTGTAAGCCAGGTCTATGAGTCACTAGTATGTTGTCCTTGCCAGCCTGATCAGGCAGCCAGCATTCTGATCAATCGGGATTACCAATCATCTGAATAAATACAGGTAAACCGTACAAACCAGTTTCACTTGCAGCACCCTGATTCACTCCCCACTTCGAGACTTGCACTTCTTAGGACTACACACTATCTATCATCTCTAACTCCGGATTCATTCCAACTCCTCCTTCGTCGAGTCATCAAGCAACGAGGACAAGACCAATAATGGCCACTACCATTGCTCGTCCAAATTCTTCTCCCGATGACCTTGAGATCCTGCAAACCCTCAAAGCACGCATCAAAGCCGGCCAACACGAATTCTTTCGCGCGGTACCTCAGCCTGCAGCGTTAGCCGGCGTATGGCTAGGCGATGTGACCAATGTCGTAGAAGGCCGTGATTCTCATGAGGCGGAGCCGGTAGACGTGGAGGTACTGGAAGACGAGTTGGTCAAACAGGTCAATTGCTTGGTGACTGGCTACCGCTGTATCTCTCACCTTTTTTCCTCCCAGATCCCTAAGCCTGTGGCTTCCAGTCACCCTGCTGTCAACGCTGTCGCACCACCTGCTCCAATATCGCATCAATTGCCGCTTCAAATCCCAGCCTCTGTTCCACCAAAACCCGCACCTCAGTCTCAACAAGCGTCCTGGGACCGCCCCACGCCCATTTCTCGTCCCGCTCCCCCTCTCGCTGCGCAAAATCAAAACTCGGCTGCTCTCCCTGCACCAAATACGTCCACTGCTGGTACGAGTCTACGAGATAGGATTGCACCTGCTGGGGCTGTTGTATTGACACCAAGGCCGGACTCTCAAGCTCCCACTGCTCTCCCTGCTTCTGCGACAGGCTCAGTCGCAACGACTACATCGTCTCATGGACTTCCCCCCCACCCTGCTACCAAGTCAAGCAACGGAATCCTGGCGCCGTCTCCGAGCCAACAACCGCCGAACCCACGCTCGCTGGAAGAACGGTTGCGGTATGACGATCGCGACCGTTTGCCTCGTGAACGTGAGCGTGAGCGGTATGAACGACTAACGCCTCCCCCGGCGCCGGCCCTGTTGCCTGCGCGCTACGATCGAGACCGAGAGAGGGAGAGAGAAAGAGAAAGAGACCGATATCCGGCCGGGGATCGCTACCTTCCGGCGGCAAGTGGAGACCGCTACCTTCCGGCGCCCCCGACTGCAACGCCGATGTCGATGTCTGTTGACCGTGGAGAGAGGTATGTTCCGGTCGATCGAGAAAGAGAACGTTATCCACCGTCGTCTTTACCGCCTTTACCGGTTCCAATGTCTGTCGCAGAGCGAGAGAGAGAGCGAGATAGAGAACGGGAACGGGAACGAGAAAGGGAACGGGAACGAGACCGAGAACGAGAACGAGAACGAGAGAGGGACAAGGCTCCATATGTTGCGAGTCTTCAAGCGCAGGCTGCGCCCACAGCACGATATGCATATGACGAAAGGGATCGACAAGCGCCAGAATATTATCGGAGCGAATGGGAAGATCGAGAACGGGACAGACGATATTTCGCAACGCAGCCAGCTACACCAGTGGCTACCGCCTACGAGCGGGAACGAGAGAGAACAGTATCATCTGGGACTTGGCCGCCTCCCCCAGCAGCAGTAGCGACCGAATACGATGTGCCGAGCACCCAGCCAGCGCGGCCGCGATCTCCATTACCTGTTCCGGCGAGTCATCCGCTTCACCCTGCATCTCATCCGTACGCGCCTCATCCCGTGGGCGTTTCTGCTGTTGCCGCCAACTCGATCCACGCTGCCCAGGCTCCGTTGTTCAATCCACCACCCCGGTCATATCGGCCTCCGTCGCCACCACCCTCAGCGTCATCCCGAGTGCGTCCACGAAGTCCAAGTCCCGCGCGTGCTGCCAAAAGGGCGAGGGGAGAAGAATATGTTGCGAGCGGGGCGAGACAACCGATGATGCCGACCGGCACTGCAACCAGCAGGACTCAAGCGCCTCCCTCTTTGCCTATGCCGCCCTCGTCGGCAGCGTTGCCGTCTAAAGCATCTGCTTCCCAGCTTCAGCTTCGAGATGCGCCGCCCCTTTCTTCGTCATCACTATCTTCTCCGATGGGTATGTCTCGGTCTGGTACAGCTCAGATGCTATCGTCTCCGGCCCCTCTGACGAGAGAACGCGATCATTCACCTCGGAGACCGCCCCCTCTACCGATACCGATCTCTGCTGCTGCTTCTGTTACCTCCGGTTACTATGAGCGAGACATGCGGCCGGATCCGAGGCTCGACCCACGGGACATCCGAGACCGGGAGCGGGACTATCGGGATGAGCGGGACCGTGAAAGAGAGCGTGAACGTGACCGCGACAGAGAGCGCGAAAGAGAGCGGGACCGGGAGCGAGAGCGAGATCTCCACCATATACGCTCGGCTAGTGCCAGCTCGTTGGCATTGGCTCCAGCACACCACTCGCTCCCTGCACCCGTCCGCGACCTGCGGGATCCGCCACCACTTAGGTCACGGGATCCGCGGGATGCGCTGCCGATGCCCATGAGGGACCTTCGAGAACGTGACCCCAGAGATCTCAGAGACCCTCGAGAAACGATGCTGATGAGCCGGCTCGAGTATCCGCCGCGGTCGCCACCGCCGTATGCTTCGCTGGCCAGATCGGTCTACAGAGAGGATGATCGAAGGTATCCTCGGTGACAGTGCATTCATCCAAGCATATGGAAAATGTGCCAGATGAAATTTAGCCCATCGGATTTAACTATATCTTGCTTATTTGTGGATCGATCCTATTTCATATGCCTACGCTTCATGTCATCATGTTTTTTGTTCACTTCGCCATAATGACACTCTGAAAATCTGAGCATCGACATCACATCAAACGAGGCGGAATCCAAGCAATATCACTCTACAGTGCAGGATAATCTCCCAATCGGTTTTCCGAGACATTTACTTGCGATCTTGTAAAGCTTAGGACAGCGCCTGGAGAAGCACCGCTTCCACGATGCAGAGAGAATGCCCGGCGTTCACTCTCCAGTGGCACCACTGTAGAAGCTTCGTTGAATCGATTACCTTGCGATATTATTATCATGTCTCGTGAATGACAGTCCTGCAGTCGGGTCCATGTGAAAGCAGCCCGCATATAGTATTCGTCCGGACTCGAAATAATGACGGTGTTACAAACGGTGTTATGAGTCACGGTTCTGTGGGTGATCGAGGCCGGCGCAGTAATGTGATGCTTCACGACGACCTGCAGGCTCTCTCGTGAACGCGAGATTAGCAACATAGCCGTTTGAGGGCCCAGTAGTACAACTACCGCTCTGGTTTTGCCGAAGCGGGTTGTTCAGATCCATAATATCAAATGGTAGGGGGAAAGGCAATCGCGGAGTTTTTCGACGGGTATCAGGGACGGAGGGCAGGGCCCTCCATCCTGCTTGTTCGGTCCAGACTGAGCTCATGCTGTAAATCAGATTATTGCATCCTGTGTATGCAAGAAGCTTGCCATGACCCAGTTTCTGTCGCCTCATGCTGCTCTCTCACTGATTGACAATGGATCTTTCAACTGCCCCATTGATGTCGCACACAGATCTTACAGACCAGTGTGCACTGTCAGCACCGGCGATGCGCAGGTTATCATCCCAAGGAAGTTGCTTTCTAGAGCAGGGAAATTCTTGTCATAATCGCGGACGAAGTAGCAATCGATCTCTGTCTTCTGAGTCTGAGATCTGAGATCGGTCACTGCAACGACATTTGCACGCACTAAGCCACAATCCCATCGGAGGCTCGCGCTCTCGTTGCAGCCTTTCTTCCTCGTGAAATCCATCTTTTCTCGCGGAGGCCTCATGTCGTCGACCTCCTCCGTATCGATGCTTTGCCAGTATATCAGTACCCCAGATTAGTATTTGATTTCAATCCCCTTTACGGTCGGTACGAGAGAGGACAGCGATCAAATTCGTCACTTATATCAGTACAACAATCGAGAGCGCCTGCGGCAGCGTCGGGGCATCCAAGAACGAGGCCGATCTCCTGACGCAGAGCGAGGCATTAATGTGGCCCGATTAGGAAGGTGATTGATTAGAAATAGGTGGGATGCTTTCGGCGTGTAATTGTTTCGTGAAGGGCTCGAGGAGATATTGCCAGACCGGGATAACGGCTAGCGGGCTTCTGATACTCGAGAAATCTGTAGAAATCAACATATGGGGCCAGATCCCTGTCGTACGACGGAGAGTTATACCAGTCCAGGGGCGTGCGAACTTTGGGGGTATGCATCAGATAAATTTTGGGACACTTATATTTTGAGTGCATCTCCCTACCCCACTCCGTTACTTCCCTCATGGCCTCTAAACCCATCCGTGAATTCGACGCGAAACTCCTACTGGCGTACTGGTTGCCCTTGGCGCCTCCGCCATGCGCCAACTACCCCACTGTCAGCGAGAGCTTCAAGTCCCCGAAGCCTCGTGTCGCGCAGTTCGCTTGGACTGAAGAGACCTCCGGCGGTGCGTTTTCTCGCGTCTTTTTACATTGTGCTGAAGATCCTTGCGATCGCAGACGCTTATCTCGCGACGCCTTCATGGGTTGATGCTTCGACCAAACTCGTAGCCAAGCCCGACATGCTTATCAAGCGTCGTGGTAAGGCTGGGCTGCTTAGCCTGAACAAAACCTGGGATGGGCCCGATGGTGCCAAGGCTTGGATTGCCGAGCGCGCCGGAAAGCCCGTCAAGGTCAGTGTTCTTCGCTCGCACTGAGACTTGTATTCCTGAGATCTGTTTCCTAGGTCGAGCACACGACGGGTATCCTCACCAATTTCATCGTCGAACCTTTCCTTCCCCACCCTTCCAACACGGAATACTACGTCTGCATCAACTCCGGCCGTGAGGGTGATACCATCCTCTTCACACATGAAGGTGGTGTCGATATCGGCGATGTTGATTCCAAGGCCGTCCGTCTAGAGCTCCCTGTGTCAGTCCTCTCCGGGTCTGCCTCATTCCCCACACGCGACTCCATCAAGTCGACTCTCCTCGCAGCTGTTCCCCACGGCAGCCAGGATGCGCTTGTGGACTTCATCACCCGTCTCTACGCAGTCTACGTTCACCTTCACTTCACGTATCTAGAAATCAACCCTCTCGTTTGTCTCGAAGGTGGCGAGATCCACTTCTTGGACATGGCGTCCAAGCTCGACCAAACCGCCGACAGTATCTGCGGGCCGATGTGGGCGATCGCGCGTGATGCCTCTGTACTGGAGGAGCTCTTCACTGGAGCCGCTCCCAAGGCTGCCCCCGCTGCCGCTGGCAAGAAGGGTGGCGTGCAGACGGACCGTGGACCCCCGATGGTCTTCCCCGCACCATTCGGTCGTCAATTGACGACCGAGGAGGCATATGTCCAGAAGCTGGATGCGTCGACCGGCGCCTCTCTGAAGCTCACCGTTCTCAACCCTAAAGGTCGTGTTTGGACAATGGTTGCTGGCGGAGGAGGTGTGTAGATATGCTATCCGGTTCGATCTGCATGCTCACTCATTTCGTCAACAGCCAGTGTTGTGTACTCGGATGCGATTGCAGCGCACGGCTTTGCCGGCGAGTTGGCTAACTACGGAGAGTACAGTGGTGCCCCCACGGAAGGCCAAACATACGAGTACGCTCGCACTGTCCGTGAGTCTGATTGTTTACCGCTGTTTTCTCGTATCATGACCGCGTTTCAGTCGGCTTGATCACGCGTGGTGCCCCACACCCCGATGGCAAAATCCTTATCATTGGCGGCGGTATTGCCAACTTCACCAATGTTGCTGCGACTTTCAAGGGTTGGTCCGTCTCTTCAAGGCGAAGATTGCTCTAATAGATCGCTTACAGGTATCATCCGTGCCCTCAAGGAGTTCAAAACTGGTCTAATCACGCATGCCGTCAAGATCTATGTTCGTCGTGGCGGTCCCAACTACCAGGAAGGTCTCCGTGCTATGCGGTCAGTGTGCCTTTTCATCTCTGTGTCGAGTTCTCACTCCTGTGCAGCCTCCTCGGAGAGAGCTTGGGTGTGCCCATCAAGGTGTATGGGCCTGACACTCACATCACCGATATTGTGCCCATCGCCCTGGGCGTTGACCTCGAGAACAAGCCCAACACTGTGCCCAGCACGGGAACGACGACTCCGACCGCCGTTTCTGTCGAAACGGTTCCTCCAAAGAGCAGCTCGCCTGCCGTCGGAGAAATTCATCCGTCTGGCTCTCGCACGCAGCCTGACGACCAGATCGTGCGCTTCACCACGGAGGAAGTTGCCGGTTCTCGACCGACTTACCGGCCTTTCGATGAGATGACGCGTAGCTTTGTGTACGGTCTCCAGCCCCGGGCGATCCAGGGCATGCTCGACTTCGACTTTTCTTGCGGTCGCAAGAACCCGAGTGTCGCGGCAATGGTGTATCCCTTCGGTGGACACCACATGCAGAAGTTCTATTGGGGCACCAAGGAGACACTATTGCCCGTCTACACTTCGGTCGCCGAGGCCGTCAAGAAGCACCCCGACGTCGATGTGGTCGTCAACTTTGCCTCGTCGCGGTCTGTGTATTCGAGCACGGTGGACATCCTGAAGTACACCCAGATCCGCAGCATTGCGTTGATCGCTGAGGGTGTCCCTGAGCGTCATGCTCGCGAGCTGCTCTGGCTGGCGCACGAGCGTGGTGTGTTGATCATTGGCCCCGCCACTGTCGGTGGAATCAAACCTGGCTGCTTCCGTATCGGAAACTCTGGCGGAATGATGGATAACATCATCGCATCTAAGCTGTACCGCGCCGGATCAGTCGGTTATGTGTCCAAGTCTGGAGGCATGTCGAACGAGCTGAACAACATCCTGTCGCTGGTGACCGACGGAACATACGAGGGTATCGCCATCGGTGGCGATCGTTACCCGGGATCGACCTTCATCGACCATCTGTTGCGCTATGAGGCTGACCCGAACTGCAAGATGCTCGTTTTGCTGGGTGAGGTCGGTGGTGTCGAGGAGTACCGTGTGATCGAGGCGGTTAAGAGTGGACGTATCACCAAGCCGATCGTCGCATGGGCCATTGGAACCTGCGCGAAGATGTTTGACACTGAGGTCCAGTTCGGTCACGCTGGCTCGATGGCCGACTCAGAGATGGAGACGGCCGATGCGAAGAACAAGGCGATGCGGGCTGCTGGTTTCGTTGTCCCGGAGACCTTCGAAGAGCTTCCGCGCGTTTTGAGAGAGACGTACCAGAGTCTCGTTTCCCGGGGCGTCATCTCGGAGAAGAGCGAGCCAGATCCACCAGTCATCCCGATGGATTACAAGTGGGCCTCCGAGCTCGGACTGATCCGAAAGCCCGCTGCATTCATCTCGACCATCAGTGACGAGCGTGGACAAGAGCTGCTGTACGCTGGTATGCGTATCTCGGATGTCTTCAAGGAAGATATTGGACTGGGTGGTGTTGTGTCGCTGCTGTGGTTCAAGCGCCGTGCGTCATTTTGTTTCTTCTGCTGTTGACCGATACTCAATACGCTCCAGGCCTTCCTCCTTGGGCGACCAAGTTCATCGAGATGGTGCTCATGCTCACTGCCGACCACGGTCCTGCCGTGTCTGGTGCGATGAACACCATCGTCGCGACTCGTGCCGGCAAAGACCTGATCTCTTCGCTCGCTTCGGGTCTGTTGACCATCGGCTCCCGATTTGGCGGTGCGCTCGACGAAGCGGCGTCGATGTTCTCGCAGGCACGGGATACGGGTCTTACTCCCCGCGAGTTCGTCGACAACTCGCGCAAGGCCAACAAGCTCATCTCCGGCATCGGACACAAGATCAAGAGTGTCAACAACCCAGACCTCCGTGTCGAGCTCGTGAAGGAGTTTGTGCGCAAGAACTTCCCTGCCCACAGCCTGCTCGACTACGCGCTCGCCGTCGAGAAGGTCACCACAGCCAAGAAGGACACGCTCATCCTGAACGTCGATGGATGCATCGCCGTTTGCTTTGTCGATCTTCTTCGGGACTCGGGTGCGTTCACACCCGAGGAGGCGGATGAGTATGTCAAGATTGGCACGCTCAATGGCTTGTTCGTGCTGGGTCGCAGCATCGGATTCATCGGCCACCATCTAGATCAGAAGCGCCTCCGCGAGCCGCTGTATCGTCACCCAGCCGATGATATCTTCATCAACATGGCTGATGTCAACCAGCCTCGGGTTTTGGGTCGCATGCAGTAGCTGGTCATCTTTAGATATAATGCAATCATACTTTCTTTTCTCTTCTCTGTACAAGGGCTGTCTGTGAGTGGTCCAGATAGCGAAGCAAGTACCACCACGTCACAATGCAGATGATACCCAGCCAAAGATTTAGTAAAAGCTTGTGTTTGTAGGCTCATACATGTTTAAATAGCTCCCTCATCGCTCGTCTCCGGCCAAAGAATCAATCCGTGTCCATAGATTGTATCAACCAATGCACCCTGCTCGTTATCAAGTTGAAAAAGCGGCATAGAGGGTGGCCGGACGCGCATCCAGATCTGACGATGGGTGTCGGTCATGGCGTATCCGTCGCCGATGAGGAACTGTGCGACCTCCGTTTGATCGGAAGTAATCTTGAACCAAGCTGACCATGGACTCGATCCTGTGATGGGCACCCCTTTGTCGTTGACGATGATCACTCGATAGGACAGGTGGGAGCCCACGGGAACCCTGCCTTTTATACCCATGCGGACTTTTCCCTGGAAGTATCAGTTCTCGTGAGCGAAACCGTCAGTGTCACAGTGGAGATGAAAAAACTCACAACGCGCACAGGTGGAAATTGAGGAGTGGCAGGCTTGTTTTGCGTGATGAAGTCACTGAACAGTCCTTGGAGTTTGTTCCAAGCGCTGCGAGCAGGCTGGATGTCCCTGTCCAACCGGGTCCCTAGATGCTTGATATAGTCCGGTTTATTGAGATTCCCAAACTCCCCCAGCTCTCGGTCATTGTCGTCACTCTTATTTCCCATTCCGTCCGAGTAATCCCTGCCACCCGACCTACCCACCAGGCCAGCCACCTCTAATCGTTGCCCCGTCTTGTTATCTTTGATAAATACCCTCTCGCGAACACTCTCCTTGTCAGCAGAGCCAAAAGCTCGATCGTACCAAGCGGTATCAAAATGGTCGAACTCGATAGAGATGCTGTTGATACGATCCTGTCTGGCCCAGTGGATGTGGCCCTCGGTCTGTTTGAGCAGATCCGGAAGATGGGCTTGACATCCTTCGTAGGCGATGCGCAGTGCGCCGAGGCGAGCGTTGTATTCGTGAAAGTTGTTCTGGCGACGATGATAGCGAGCCATGTGAGCGTAAGCAGTGCAACGAATCCAGTAAGCCTGGAAGATGCAGAGGACGGCAGCGACGAGCCATTGGAGCTCATTGCCATGGTCATGCCCGTCAAGCTGGACCCCGTCACGGAGGGTGTCGAATGCGTGTTGGAGGGAACCACCTGACTGAGTCGATCTCGACAAGTTGTCCAGTGTGGTCTGATGACTGATTTCAGTCGCGAAAAGGTGTAAAATAAGTTGTGAAGCAGCTTACATCAAGAGCACGAAAATCGTCGCTGGACATGGTGTTCGTCATAGCCTGCAGCGTCTTCAAATCCTCCTGGAAATCTCGCAGATCATTGATAGCTTTTTTGATATCACCACTCCGCAAGCCATCTTGGACCGCAGCTAGAATATTTTCACGGGTGTTTTGGTTGTACCGACTCAATTTTGACGGTTGCAAGGCGGCAAAGGCCAGTCCTAGAATAGCTGAAAGCACGATGCCTTCCGGTCCGACAACAAAGAGCATTGTCTCCGCTGCTACGACGATGGGACCAACCCAGTCTGCAGTGCCGGTAGCAGGGATAATCTTCGCGGAGGGCGTGCCTGCCTTATAGAACTCCTGATCCTCCTATGCCACAAGAGTGAGTTCTCGGCGGTTTTGCTCAAGATCTGCACTGACCCATCTACGGAAGGCACCGTCTACCCAAGGATCAACGCGCGGCATGGTTGGGTAAGTGTAGGTGAAATAACGGGGTGTGATTGTCGCGCATTTATATGAGAATCCACATGGGATGGGAGATGGGCAGAGGCCGGCGCCGGAACTTGCATATGGACAGGAAACGAGCAGTTCCGACTGACAATCTCGACAGCGACTAGACTGGTGCCCCTTGATAGTTGTCGACGGCAGGTAGGTACCAACAAAACACCATACAAGACACGAGGGATGGAAGCGCTGCCGGTGATTCGGGTAGGACTAACTGCCGGTGGGAGGAGAAAGAGAGAGAGATACTGTAGGTCACTTTTTGTTTGTCGTACCAATCTTTTTGTCTTGGATCACTATACGCTTTCCGAACGTAGACTATACATAGTCACCCCACACTAGGTGCATAGAGCCCCGGGGTTGCTACTCAGCCTAACCGCTCTACAGCTCCGGCATTTTGATTTCTCCGAGCAAGCTGTCTGGTTTGTCAATTAGTATGTATCAATCACTGTCTATGCTGATTCTCTCTAGCCAAGACAATGCACCTTTCCGGCACAGGGCACAACACTTAAAAGTGCGTGGATTGAGATCGTGCGCCATATCCCATTCTTCATGTCTGGTGGTGTTGAACACCCCGTTGAGCCCCTCCATGAGCACGAGCGCCTCCACGAGAGCGAGATTCCAAGCGAAGAAGTCATTGGCAATGTAGGCCCCACAGGATATCTCGACCCTCCACCTGGCGTCCCGGTACCTACTGGCTTCGAAGGGCAACCAAACCCCGTGCTTCCGCTCAATGGCCACCTTAGTGGTCAGGAGCGTCGCAATGACCTCCAAGGGAATATCGGAACAGCTGCCGATGAGGGGGCAAAGCTTGCGCAGAACAGTCTCCATAGTGTGTTCCACATTCCACATTCTTCACGAAAAACTTGATGTTGATCTAGTTGATCTGCTCGCACGCAAAGTCGCTCCCGAAATGGCGGACAAATTGAACGTTGGGTTTGACAAGAGCTGGTTGCCATTTTTCACGGGGGAAGGGTCCAACCCAGATGCGTACAGTATTACGCGGGAGAATTTCCAGGCATATATACTGTCGCATCCTGATCCTGTCGCATCGAGGTACGCCGTGGTTGACCTTCGTAATCCTGCCAGTCCGAGCGGTGAGTGTCATTTGATTGTTCAATCAATGGCATTTTCCACTATCAGCTCAAATAAATGTCTGTAGATCTTGCCGGGAACGGCGTCAATACCCAGATCAGAGGTGCTGTTCATGAACACGTCGATGAGGGCACCTTTGCAGGAAGCTCGCTATCTGTCCCTTATGATTTTCGTAAGCTCAAGCTCCCTGTTCCGGGGAATTTCAAGGCAACCATTGAAGCGTGAGTAACTCATTCATTGCCCTGGCCTTCTTGATCTCACTATTCTCAGCAATTGGGCACAGGCTGTCTTGCGTGAGCCATGGAAGTCAATCCGAAACAAGGACATTGTCTTTTTCCACTGCCGTGAAAGTATCAACCGCACACCGTACATTGCCTCAGGATACCTTGAGTATGGGCGGCCATACAACTCCAAGCAAAAGGTCATTATCATAGAAGGTGGCTTCAACAATGAAATCAACTGGCCACAAGGAACAAGTCTGTTGATTTTAATCTAATTCTTTGGTGCTCTTGACTAACCTTGAAAATGTCCAGCTGAACCCTGGAATGTCAATGTATAAAGTAGTTGTTCTGTAAATTCATTTAAATACATTCAGCTATGTAGACTAACAGCACAAGTTAGTCTCACTGCAGGGGGACTTTTTTTTTCTGCGGAAAATGCGTGACAATCTAGAAGTTCGATTTTCACTGTTCTGTTTTCAGACAGCAGGAAGATATTGCCAATAGATGTAGATTTACAGCCAGATTTGTACCATGAATAGACGTCTATTCCCCCCAAAAACAGAGCTGTAAACAGATGTTCTTTTTTCAGACTGATTCTCACTAAAAGCAGATGTTCTTTTTTCAGTGAGAAAAGATGCGAGTCGCAACGAGTCGCAATGAGTCAGCACGAGTCGTTGCATGGCCGCACACACGAGTCAATTTACGAGTCATATAGTGTGCTGCCGACATTTATGAGCTGCATTGGAATAATGTTACACAACGCCGTCAACACTCACAAGCCGCAACCAACAATAAAATGAATATATTATCAGACGCCTTCGCTGTGAGTGACGGTGACATTGATGTGACTGACCCGCCACCAACACCACCAACAGTTGCCATCAACTACCACTGTCAAGCGCAAGCAAGCCACACCTGCGACTTGAACCTGACCCTCATCTCGACAGGACAAATTATCTGGCTCTTCACGACTACTCTCGACATTCTGTGACAATCAACCCAAAATAAAGTCAAAAAGAGAAGTGAATTCGAAGACTGGAGAATACAACCAAGTAGCTACAGTATTTATACCCAAATCCAGTCTGAGTCATATCTACAACTAATGAGTCATAGGGCTATGTACCGCATGGAGCACTGGTCATGGGTTGTAGTAGAACCTTCTGGAGCATATGTCGCGCAGCCTTGAATTGAAAAGGATAATCCCTTGGAACCCCTAGCCCGGACCGTCTGATGCCGTGATCCATGATAAGATAAGTCGTGCCAAGATAAGATGAGATTGTCGAAGATAAGATAAAAAGTGGCCGAATTATGACATTACCCCCTCTCTAGGGTTGATGTCCTCATCAACTAGGCCAATGGGTGTGAAGACATTCTCATAAGGGTCGAAGAGTTGTCGTTGGGGGTATGGAAGGTGTTCGTCTCTGGGTTTGTAGCGATGGATAAGATAATCCCAATGTCCAGCTTCGAGCGTTGGCAGGAGGCGAATGCGTGTGTCTGGGTTGGATTGTTTCCTCTGCCAATCTCTCAGGACCTCCTTCGCGTGGGTAAGGTGACGTGATGGTTCCCAGGTGTTCTCGCTATGCGGCCATCCCTTCCATTTGACCAAGTACTGTTTTCCTCGGCCGACGTTTTGCTCTTTCACGATCTCTTTGACTTCCCACTCCTCTGCTCCTCCGATCATCTTGGCTACGGGCCTCTTCTCTCGGCAATGGGGGGGTGGTTTGTGATAGGGTGTCAACAGTGACTTGTTGAACACCGGATGTCTTCGGTCCGTGTCCGGCAAATCCAGCTTCCATGCAGCCGCTCCAACCTTCTCCAGTATCTCGTATGGTCCTAATCTCTTGTCGCTCATCTTCTTTGATGGTCTATCCGTCTCGATATTTTCCCCTTCTATGTACACCTTCATCCCAACCTTCAACTCCGGAACTTCTTTTCTTTGTTTATCGTAGTATTTTTTCATTTTTCTTTTGCTTTTTCCAATGCTGCTTTTGCTTCGTCTTGTATTTCTTTGATTCTTTTTACAAACTCCTCTGCTGACTTGTTCCTCGATTCCATCCATTGTTCCACTCCCTTCCATGGGTGATATCCATGATTGGCATAGAACAGTGATATTTTGGTCGACATGTTCATTTTGTCGTTATATGCGAACTCCGCCATTCCCAGCCACTCCGACCAGTCCGTCTGATGGTAATTGACGTAGATGCGGAGATAGTGCTCGATCTCCTGATTCATGCGTTCTGTTTGTCCATCCGTGATCGGGTGATATGCGGTCCCCAGATTCATTTCCACGCCCAACATCCGATTTGTCTCCTTCATGAAGCCTTTGATGTAACGCAAATCCCTGTCAGTGATGATCTTGCGGGGGATCCCGTGGTAGCGGAAGACTCGGTCCCTGGTTAATCGTGTGACTCCTTCACTGCTGATGTCAGTACTAATTGGTTCGACATGGATCATTTTGGTGAAGGTGTCACACCACACATGAATTGCGTCATACCCATTGCTGACCGGTAAGGGTCCGATTTGATCCATTGAGATGATTTCCCATGGCGCATTTGGGACTGCATGCGGGTGCAGAATCCCCGTCCTTGCTCTCCTGGTCTTGGTTTGTTGGCATGCCTCGCACGTCTGGATGTATTTCCGAATTTGGTTTCCCATCCTTGGCCACCAGTAGTTCCTTTCCACCATCTCCTGGGTTCGGTTGATTCCAGCGTGTCCGACCAAAGGTGTGTCATGGTGTAGCCCAATGATCTTGTCTTGCAGTTCCTTGTCCCTCGGTACGTAGAGCTTCCCATGGTACGTGATGAGCCCGTCTTCCTTTTTCCATCCAGCGAGTGACTTCTCCAAGGCCGCCTTGACGCTTCCATCAAGTGATTGAGTGGCCTTGATCTCATCGATTAGCTGCTGATCTTGTCCCTCAAATGTGACTTCTTGTGATCGGAAGAACTCGGGCTTCAGTAGCGTGACGTCCTTGTTGTCGTTCTTGCCTTGGTCATGATCCGCTCGTTGAGATAAGAGATCCGCCTTGCGGTTGAGTGCGCCGGGCCAGTGTTGTAAGGTGAAATCAAACTCCGCCAACTCCGTGATCCATCGTGCTTGCCGTCGATTGAGCTTCTGCGGTTTTCGGAAGTACTCAAGATTTTGATGATCGGTGAAGATCTCGAACATTTCCGTGGCTCTCAAGAGTAACTGCCTCCATTCATCCAGTGATAGCATGATTGCAAGCATTTCCTTGTCGTAGATCTCGTAATTTCGCTCGGTTTCGGTCAATGCGTGCAAAATACATGCCGTCTTGGTTTTGGCTCAAAACAGATCCTGTTGCCCCTTCCGAAGCATCAGCTTCCAGACAATATTGGCCGGTGTCATTTGGCAGTGCTAAGACCGCATCCTCCGCGATTCTCTTCTTCAACCCATCAAATGCTGCACGCTCATCTGCACCCCATGACCATCCTGCCTTCCCTGTCAGCCGTGTCAACGGCTTGGCAACCTCCGCGTATCCCCAGACAAAGCGCCGATAGAAGTTTGTGAATCCGAGGAAAGCTTGGACCT